CCACTGACAGATCAGCGACTGCATTATCTGCAAGCCTTACGGCCGCGATCGTGCTGGTGGTCAAGTAATCAAACAGGGGATGGAAAACTAAGCCGTGGTTGGCCCTGGTGGAAGGCAGCCTCAGCGTGGCACATTCCTCAGCTCTGGCACGGCCAGCACGCGGTCCCCCATCGTGCTGCCCAGGTGGTCGCGTAGCAGGGAAGAAATGAAACGCTGTTAGGTCTTCGTTTCATTTAAGAATGCACTTTTTTTTTTTTTTTTTCCCCCAACAAACTCTTCTTTGGTTTAATTTTCTAGCATTTCAGCTGAAGTCTCCCAAAAGGAAGAGAGCTTTGTTGTGACAAGTTCGATACTTCCCTATGGCTTGTATGCTTTAAAAATACCATCGGCTATTTTGGGCAGCGAGCCTGAAACTCCTCGCGGACATACGCTTTGTTTTAATGGCTATGGAAAATATTTCCTACAACCTCTGAGATTTTTTTTGGAAGCATCGCTGGAAAATACCTTCTAAAAATGCCACGGTGTCTACAAAAGCAGTAGGCAGGACACATCCACTTCACTCCTCAGCCTTGTGTGTAAATAGCCGTGTGTGGGATTAACGTTACCATCCTGTCTAACTCCTCCTTGGATCCTGCAAAGCCCTGCACGTGCAGCAGGTGTTAAATACATGTTGGTGGAGCCTTATTTGCAGGGAGCACATGGCTCGTGTGCATGTTGGCAAACCTGCTCTCAGCCTGTGGTGTCCTCCTGCCTCTCTCCCTCGCTAACCATAGCTGCTGCCCACGCTGGCATCGGATGGGAGCACACTCTCACCCGCTCCTGCCTGCACCCAGAAAGTGTTTGGCACTGGCTGGGGCAGCCTGTGCTGATCGCTTCTGGTCCTGGCTGCGTGGATGTGGTGCTGTCTGTCCGTCTGACCTGGCAGGAGCCTGCTGCACTCGTCCCAAATAGCTTGGCAGAAAGCCACCAGCGAAATGCCAGCTTGGAGAAGGTTTGGGCCAAAGCACGCGGGAGTGACGTGAGGTGCTTACCTCTGCTCTCCCCTTGTACATGCGTGCTGTCCTCTCAATTGATAACTGATAAGTCATTTTCACTTCCCTCCTTTGCCTTTTTTTTTTTATGCTGTCTGGTTCTTTTGTTTGGCCACCAACAGCAGCAGAAACAACTCTGCGGTGGTGGTGCAGGATCAGGAGCGGGTGGCTGCCCAGGGAGCAGGGCTGGGGGTGCCTGGTGGCTCTGACACCACCCAGTGCCACCCAGAGAAACACCTGCGTAGCCCTGCCTTCAGTATTTTTAACTGAATAACTTCCCACGCCACCGTCCACAGCTGCTGCTGCGAAACCAGTCAGATGAGCCACCCTCCAGACAGCTCAAACCGCTGCGCTGTGTTTTTGGGGAGGGCTCAGGTAAGCCAGCACTGCGCACCCCACAGCACCCAGCAGAGCAGATGGATGCCCCGCGCTGTGAGGGGAAGGCGGTGGGTTTGGGGAAATGTTTGTGGAAAGCATAAATATTTGTGCAGTGCCTGTAAATATTGCCAGACCCGAGCAGGGAGGAGATGTGAGTAAGCGTGGAGAGGGAGCCAGGGTGGCTGCGCGTGCTGATGCTGACTGCCTGGCTCCTGGCTGTCTTTGCACCAGGGAGACTTAAAGCCAGAGCCCACTGTGCCTGTGACAGACTGTCCACTGCTCTTGCCTTGGGCTTCCTGGGACTCAGGGCTCAGAGGGGTCACAGGACTCTGGAGGAGGTCTGTAGGTACGCACCAGGATTTTTGGGGCCTGTCTGCACGCAGAGGTCACAGATCTTGGGTTGTCTGGTCTGTTTCTACGCAGAAAACTGCAAAGCATCTTCGTTCAGCAGAGCTCAGCCTTTGGAGGAGCTTTTGTTTAATGATAAGCTAGATTTATAAAAGATCCCTGACACTGCTTGCTGTTCTCACAGCCCGGTTGTTGCTTTTTTTAACATGCAGAGAATTTGTTGCTGGCTTACACCTCTGCACCTGTTGGTCCCGAGCCCCTGGGCAGACCTCACAGCAGTCAGGAAGGCAGAGGGAGGTGAGAGTGGCGACGCCAGGGTAATGTGCCAGCATGTGGCATCAGAGAGGTTGCACAGTTCAGCTGCACAGTAACACCAGCCTTTTAGGAGAACTCATTGCAGAGTTGAACGGTGAAGTCTGTCATCCAAGGATAACATCTTTGAAACCTCTCAGGTCGGTGGGTTGCTGCCAGCATTTTGCTCTCTGGGACAGAGACAGTTTTCATTTATTTTTGGATAACACTTATTTCATTACAGTCCGCTCTGGAATGTAGTTAAACATAACCTGAGTTTAAAACAGAAAAAAAATAAAATTTGAGACTGTGGCTGATCAACCTAACCAACTTTCTATGGTTTCCATGGCTATTCAGAGTGCTGAGAGGAGTGTGTCTGAAATAAGATGGGTGTGCTCTTACTTTTCACAAATACCGTCAACTTATGGGCTACAAGCGAGCTATTAGAAGCTATCATTAAAGTCTCTGGATAACGTGGAGCAATGTGCAGATGATCTGTATAATCTATTTACGTGTTTGTCGCTTTAAATAGCAGCTTGAGGGACTGGAGGACTCCCAGGACTGGAATAGCAGACATGTTGCTGGACATGGATGAGGTTTCACTGGCAAAGCTTTGCAGCACTTAAGAAAATGATGTTCCACTCTCACTTTTACAAATGCCAAAGCTGCATACGTTTCTCATTCTCCAACATAGTTTTTAACGTTATGGTGAGTACGGCCAGCATTTGAAGTTCATCCTGGATGCTTTGGATCTGGCTGATAAGACCGAAAGGACATTTACTCTTAATCTTACATTTTTTTTCATAGTTCTGAAGTGGGTGGATATAATTTTCTGATACGTTTTTGTTTTGAAATACTATTTTTCCATTGGCTTAATGAATCAGTACCTCACCATAGCTTTGTTATGCCTTGGATTTGTAGATGATGCAGTAAAAGTTAACTTCACTCAGCTGACATTGTCTTCTGTTCTGAAAATATACTTGCATGATGTGCTTGTGCACGCTGTGTTTTTAATTTCCAGCTTTGGTGCCAACACGGGCCCATTCTGTTTATCCTCCACAGCTTGAGCTCTGTGTGTTTTTGGGAGGATTTCTGTTTTGCAGCAGCAGCAGTTTTAGCAGCTGCTCGCTCGGAGGCCCCTGTCTCGTCTGGCACGAGACGCGGCGATGAACCGAGAGCGCGGCAGAGCGAGCGCCGGGTTGTTCTGTCCCCATTTTCTGTTTGCTCTGCAAACCCAGCAGCCGCCGTGAAGTGAGGCAAGGTCTCCCTTGCTGCACCCTTTGTGCAGGGCTGCAGGCAGGAAGTCTAAGCTTGGGTGTTGCAGCTGATAATAGTGGCAAGGAAATAATAAGCTGGGAGACTTTTTAAAGACACTTCTTCATCAGGATGGTTTGGTGCTCTTTGATCAGCCGGTCGGGTAGTGAGGCTCTGTGGAGTCTCATCAGAGACTTTTGTCCCCGAAAACAGGAGTGCTGGGGGCTGAGGGTGCTCTGGGTCTGCAGCGGGACCTGGAGGAGAGGTGCCCTGTGCCTGGACGCCTGCTGATGTCTCAAACCTCCTCCTGTGGTCACCTCTGCTGGGCTCAGCCACATGAAGCTGCTGCCTGTTACAAGAAGGGCCTGGACAGAGACACTGCTGCCTTGTGTACAGAAATAACGAATGCATTTATGTTGTTATATATGACTTTTCTTAAAGTAGAAGGAAGGGAAGGGAAGTCCAGCTGCTTTGAAAGTTAATGATACTGTCAACAGCAAGGGAATAATGAGCCCCAAGGTAAATCCTTCGCAGGATTTGTTCAGTGTCTATTCCCCTGCTAAATAAGGAAATTACGTGTTTTTAGGAGTGCTGTTAGGAATCCTTTAAGTTTTTGAATTGGTGGGTCTTCGGATAGCTGCAGGAAGAAAAGAAATAAAAAACATATAACCAGCTCTGTCTCTATTAGTGTTTGGATATAATAGACAGTATCAGCTGGAGGGTGACTCCACATGATTTTCCTTTGTAGCTGTGTTAATGCTTCTCATCTTGCACATGGAATCACCACTTTCATCTTTGCGAAAATGTGTCTAAATAACTGTAAATACGAATTTCTTCTCTGGCTTTCTTCATTACAAGATTGTGCCATTGTCTTTTGGGGTCTTTCAAGCTCAGATGTTTTTTGCTTTGTTTGCAGCAAGCAAAGTATTTCCAGGCTCTTTCTCTATTGCTCAAGATATTTAAACTGCCAGTGTGGTTTTTGTTTATTTGTTTTTGTAGCTGTTACCTCTTTATAAAGCCTTAAGCACAACTGTCCTGAAATGTTGCTTAAGCATCTTTCTTTCCTTCATTTTAATGTGCTCTAAGTCTTAAAAAGCATTTAAGTCCCATAGCCAAATAATGAGGGGTGTGGGGGTGGATATGTACATACATACCAGAAAAGCACCTTAAACAGGACAGTATGGCTCTGGTTAGTTGAAAATGGATCTGTACAGCTTGTTGTGAAACAAAACCCATCTCTAGTTCATCCCAGGAACAAAATTCATCTTGTCTCGGTGTTAAAAGCAAACAGATTTGGAGGCTCTGCTCTTCTTGTGCAGATTTGTTTCTTCACCATGTAAGGGGAAGTGTACATTGCAGGCAGTAGAGCCTGATCATTGCAGTGCCTGTTCTTTTGGGTGGAACGTGATAGGGCCATGAGCTGTGCAGGATGGCAGAGATGAGGGCTAAGAAATCAGCAGCAGTTCCTCCTCGCCCTCATCCTTAGTGTGTGGGAGAGCTAGAAACTGGTGTGTTTGGACCTAGTGACTTCGGATAAACAGGACAGTCTGCTTCCACTTAAACGCCGATATGCTGGAAAGAGATGACTTAAGAAACTCTGGAGCTTTACAGGAAGTCTCCCAGTTTCCCTGTGTGAGTTTTGCAACAGAAACCCAGCAGTGATGATAGAGTGATTTGTGTTTGTGTCTTCCTCTCCAGTTGGCCTGCTGCTGTGGCACTGCTGCGTGTTCCCTGTGCTGCCGATGCTGCCCCAAGATAAAGCAGTCAACCAGCACCCGCTTCATGTACGCGCTTTACTTCATCCTGGTGACCATCATCTGCTGTGTCATGATGTCGACGACGGTAGCTAACGAGATGAAAGCACGCGTAAGTAAGAGATCCTCCCCTGCTCCTGAAGGGAAGTGGGGCTCCTTCTCTGTCTCTTCATATACAAGGGCGCTTGCTCAAGAAGGGGCAGTCGATTCCCTCCACCCACTCACTTCCAGGCCCAGACAGGAGGATAGTGCATGTTCAGACTCCCTCTTCCTGTCAGTTGCTCAGCCTTCAAGTCTATTTCACAACAGGAAGAGTCAAGGATCACAGAACTAGCATCTTTCCTCTTCTTTTGTTGTGCAGAAACCCATTCCAGCAAACCCACTCCAGGTATTCTGCGTGGGTAGTTTCAAGACATCTTGTAGCAGCATAAATTCTGCTACCAACTAGGTTAGTACCAGAAAAAGCAATTAGAAAACAGCTCTTCAACGGCTGCATTTATAACATTAATTCTGTGTTCTTGGTGTTATGTGACAGACTAGTACAGTGCAGTGGGTTCTGTACAAGGGGTTTTCTTCAGCGTGCTTTGAGTCATCATGTTCACATGGCTTATAACCACAGCAGACATTGTTCAGCTCTAATTGTCTTCTTAATTAAAAAGCTTCAAGAGCATGAAAGGAGCTGTGGCAAAAACTAGATTATAAGACTCTGAAAGGAACTTGGTTTTTAATATGTAACTTTCCTGAGCTCAATTTCTGCCTGCTTGAGGTCAGACACTAGACCTGTTGTTCCATGTCTTTGGTTTCATTTCTTCAGCCACCCAAGTTGCTCTCAGTAGCGCAAATAGGCTCTCTCACCCTCTACAAACTACAAGAAAATAAGTCTGCTTTAAAGTAGAGGGAACAATGGCTGGATTGCTTAATTTTTTAAAATTAAGTAATGTGGGACTGAAACTTTTTCACACCAAACTTGACTGCCTTGAGGCTGTCATTGTGGTTGCCCTGGAGGATGAGAAGGCCTTGATTGATGTGGGCATCTAGTTGTTCTGTGTTTTCTCTCCCAAGAGGGGAGTGCCAGTGGGTGCGCAGTTAAAGCTAATTCCTTGTTGCTGGTTGAGTTGATGCCCTGCTTAACTTTCAGTTACCTGTGAAACATGTCCCTCTGCAGCATCCTGGGGCCAGAAGCTGGTGGTAACACCCGGTGCCTGCAAGGCAGACAAAACAAGAGGCTTATGCAGGGACTATCTTGAGGGTTTCTGTGCTCTGTGCCAGTGACCTTTCCTACATTCTTTGCTAATTTTCTTTTATTTAATATGACACTGCTCAGACTATCACAGTGCTGCCGTCTTATCCCTGATCACCAGAAGTTGCTGACAGCCCTGTAAGAGTGCTCAGTACAGACAAGATGCTCATCCCTGAGCTGTGACTTAAAAACTCTTCAATATGTGCGTGCTGAAGTTTCTTGCCAGGAATTACTTTGACTTACTAGATGCTTAGATTGGCAATGAAGTGAATAATCCAAGGAACTACAGTATGTGGAAGACAAGCTATATGCTCGTATCCAAATTTCATAAAGTCGTTTTCCATCAGTAGTGTGGTTTTAATGCAGCTTGTATCCCTAACACACAAAAAACCCAAACCTCTCCTTATCCAACAGAAAAGTGATTCAAGCAGTCTTCAATAACGTGCTTTTCAGCCTTGCCAAATTTCTTTTCCAGTTTGTAGCCTTTAAAGCTCAGTGTAGGAAGAAATGGCACAAAGAGTAGCTGTTAGTGTGAAGTGGAAAGATAATTGCCTTCTTAATTTAGCGCATTTGGTGACTTTGAATAGGAAATGGACCATCTGAAAGTAGTCTTTCTTTCTCTGCTCTCTAATTTAATAATTACTTTCTGGGCTGTTAAAAGTTCAAAGACTCCTGAAGCTAATTCAACCCAGTTGTAGTAGCGTGCACCTTCAAAATATCTGTCCAGACTAACTGGTCTCAGCTTCCCAATGACAAACTGTATTTTGAAAGTGCTGGTCACTTAGTGATTCCTTTGCTTTTGGCTGGACTGTGGAGCACTCCGAGATCCTGAAGCCCGACTGTAAGCAAATACTTTGCATGATGTTTCAAGGACCTTATGCCCTCTTTCTTGAAAGGGGACAGAATTTTAATTCATTTTATTTATTTATTTATTTTAATTTGTATATTAAAGTAACAATTAATATTTCAGTGCAGTGCTTTGTGGAGCCTTGGCAGGGAACAACATGTCTGCTTTACCAGTTTAGAAATCAAATAATCACACTGATGTTAAGTGAAAGGAATCTCACCCTTGTCAGTGAAGGGTTTTTTTTTCAGTTGTTTTGTTTATTGGTGCTAAGTTCCCAAGTCTGAAGTAGTTCTAAAAGTATTTATTGTAACACTGTAGCCTTTGGACCTTTGAAGTTATTTTGAGAGGAAGTAGCAGCAAAGTACATCTCTGATGGACACCTTAAAGAAAGACTTAATATGTGTTTGTTCAGCAGTATTCATTTGCCTCACTTTGTAGGTCTATTAAAATAAATTTAAGACAGGTTTTCCATTTCTGAGGTGTCAGACTCTGCAGGTGCCAGCCCAGAGTCAGGGACCTACTCTATGCCCTGCAGCATGTCTGGAAAAACAAGTCAGTGTCCCAGGTTCCACCTCCTCCCCAGAGCTGGCAGGCAGACAAAGCCCTGTGTCAGCGGGAGGGTACAGTACCTGTAGAGTATCTGATCATGGTTTCAAAACCTTGCTTCCTAATCTAATTGGCAGTATTTTGATGATCTATTTTTGTGGTGAGCCTTAAGAATTGAACGAATAAAAGATTATTTATTTTTGGTGACTTTTTTTTTCCTATTTTCACACTTCATCTTCAGATCTGCTCCCAAGTTCATGAGACACCAAGAGAATCTGGAGAGTTAAATTCAGAAAAAATGTGCAGGGAAACCAAGGCATTTCTGTTTGATCTTCTGTGGAAGAAGCAAGAAGCAGTGGGGAGGGAGTGAAGCAGATAGGGAGGGAGTGGTTGGCTCTTACTAAGAAAGCAGTTTGAGTTGTAGCATGTAGAACTAATTTTAGAGGAGCAAGGTCGTGTATTGAGGCAAAAGATAGGATACAACATCAATCAAGACATGAAAGCTTTAGTGAAGGGGACAGCAAGGCAGAAAAGGTGAACATACACTTACACAAGACAGTTTTGAGACCTGACTTTGTTCCAAAAGGAAGTAGATCAGGATCCAGCTTGAGGAAGGGCTTTCTCTGGTGGTGAGGCCCTGGCACAGGCTGCCCAGAGCAGCTGTGGATGCCTCATCCCTGGAGGTGCTCAAGGCCAGGCTGGATGGGGCTTTGGGCAGCCTGGTCTGGTGGGAGGTATCCCTGCCCATGGCAGGGGGGTTGGAACTGGGTGGTCTTTAGTGTCCCTTCCAACCCAAACCATTCTATGCCCTGATCCAGGTATGTGCTTTTCCATTTATTCTGTTGAAAATCAGCTACAGCTTTACCCACAAACATTTTGTTGAAGCATAACCTTGCTTCACAGGCTTTGAAAGGATAATTGACACAAGAGGAGGGAGAGAATTGTGCTAGTCAGTCAAAATACTACTTTGATTTTTTTTAATGTTTGTCTTAATGTCAAAGCTGTTTCAAAACTTGTGGTTTCATCCTGAAAATATCCATGCCTTATTTAAACAAGGAAAGGAAAATCGGAAAAGAGGATTTCAGGAAAGCAAATACAGTGAAAGCTAATTCAGTTGTGTGAAAGCATTTCAGTCTTGGGTGGTTAAATGTTCTGGTAGAGCATGCTTTCAGACTTGTTTCCCCAGCCAGGTTGATATCTCTGTCCTTAAATCCATTACAGTATGTTAAAATATAAATTTGCTGCCAAAACAGTTTCTTTAAAAAAAAAGTCCATTACTTATTTCTGGTAAGAATTTAGCTATGGATGTAAGCTGATGCTTGCTTTGATCAGATTGTTTTTTATTTCTTCAGTCCATATCTCACATGTTCAAGACAAGTGGCTTTACAAGCGTTCTTCCCCACTATCTCTCTTCTCGCATGGTTATTTTTTATGCTTTCTCAATTTCTGTAACAAATTTCACCTTCTATATTCCCCCTCTCTTGGATGAGGACATCCATGTGGAAAGCAGTCCCTTTCTGGTTTCTCTGGCTCTCCAGGCCTGTTTCTACACAATTCTTCCTTCTTGCTGCCCTGTGATGCCGTTTTCTGCCCTTCTGCATTCACGGGACCGGGCACAGACAGACCAAGCTTGGAGGTGTCCCAGACGCAGCCGGCTGGAGCCTGGACACAGCACAGCTGCATCAGCTCGCTGCAGCATTGCAGTAATTTAGGAAGACAGACACTCGCACTGAAGACAAAAAGCAAGTTTGGGGCAATCTGACCCTGTTCTTGTGGATGTTGCCTTTTTCTGTTTCACTGCACTCAAAAAAAAAACCGACTTGATAACATCATTGTGCATGCAGCTACAGAGGCATTCACATTATCTGAGTGGATCCTGAGTTACTGCAGTTGGAATGCTTTGTCCCCTGCTTAGAGGCCAGGGGAATTTACTTCTGTTGCTTTTAAAGAGAGAAAGGTAAATACTTCACTCCATCAGGATCAGCTAAGTAATTAATCTGTGACTTCAACAACTGGCAAAACTACTCAGCAATTAGAAAGTGTACTAAATGACATTGGATAGGCAACCTTCTGACAGCTGAACATATTTCAGAGAGAGAGATTTTCAAGAAAAAAATGTCTTTTTCAAACTTTTCAGTGATCAAGAACTCGCATAAAGCTTGATAAATTGTTTACAGCAGTAGATTATCCTCTCATGAAAACATGCCCTTTTCATTACATCCACCCTTTTGTCCTCAGTGTTGTGCTCGTGTTTATTATCTGCTGGGGTCCCACGTCTTTGTTTTTATTCTTGATTTGTTACTTTGGGATCAGTGGTCTCTGAAAAAAGATGCTCAATCTCGCAGGACTATTCCTGCGGCCATCATTTATCACTGTGTAGCGTTGTGCATGCTACACAACGGCTGAGCCCTTTGTTGTTTGTGCAGGCACAAAGTAAGCTGTTGTTCTTGTGAATCCATGCGTTTTCTGTCAGCCTGTTCTGTAAAGAAATTACTACTAAATAGAGAAAAGAACATAAAGGGTCAAGAATCCCCTCTAGACCTCAGTGGAAACCTATGTAGTTAAAGAAGATTCTCATTTACAGTTACAAAGAGATCTCTTTTTAACTGGCTAGTTGATTAATTATGTTCCTTGCTGTTTTTGTTGTTTTACTCTTTAAAACCAGTAATCAAAACGATGTTTGGTGCTTGGTGCAGATCTAACAGAAACTAGCCGTTTAATCAGCATTACCATCTCCACCAAAAGCTCTGATTTTCTCAGAAATATTGTTAGTTCAATACCACGCATCGTTAATGGGAATTACAAGTAAAGAGTTAACTGACAGCCCAGCTGCTTTCCCTGGCATTGCTGTGGCACTGATAGGTCTCTTAGTTATTTCACCCAACCCATTTGCTCGTTTTGAGTGCTGGCACATTTGGCCTGTCTGACATTTCATTGCCTTTCAGGACTTAAGAAAGGCATTGCTGATGCTCCAGCTGGTTTCTCAGGAGCCCTCCAAAATTTTTGGATGCGAGTTAAGTCACAGTTGTTCAATTGCTGTGCGACTTCTTAAGCATTGGATATTAATCTCTGAGTTACTTCTAAAAGAGCATCTTGGGGTGGCGCAGCTTGAATCCATTTCTATGTGTTGATCCCATGTTTCCTGCATCTTTGATGGCTCTCCACCCAGCTGGGAATGCTGCCTGATCGCTGGCTGTTGAGCCCTGTTCGTTGTTCCCTTGTCCTGTTTCTGTTTACTTACTAGCCTGCTGAAGGAAGTAGACATGAGTATCTTCTCTTCTTTCTTGGAAATATTCAAGGATGGTGTTGCCCACAATCTTTGTGTATTTTTCCTAAGCAAAATCGGGCCTGGCTGAACACTTTCTCACACCCGATTTCCCATTTAATCTGCCTGATTTATTTATTTGTACAATGTTTTGTCCTGGCATGCGCTGTCCTCTGTCTCTCCCAGTTACCCATGCAGGTAGCTGCGATCAGTTCCAGAGGTTTTGATGTGTTGCTCAACTGGTCTCACGAGCCTCGGCTGAACCCTTTGAGCATACAGAGGCCCTTCTTCCTTTGAAGCAGCTGGTGTTTTTTTAATTAAATGCCTCTATTTCTGCTCAACACCCTGGCTGTGGGAAGGGGAGGCTGGTCTGTACAAAGGCTCTGCACAGGAGTGGGACCTGTGCACAGAGTCCTGCTTTCTGAGCGCTCATGTCACACCCACCTTGGTGAAACCGAGGCCAAAATGTGTGGCTGTTTGCCTTCCCCTCACAGCAAGGGCAAAGCCTCAAAGGCAAATATTTAACGAGTCAGGAGAAAAGTGGAATTTTCCTGCCTCTGTTACTTTAACATAAAATCAGGACAACTGGCACAACTCCCTTTCAGAAGCTGTAATGGAGGGGAGGGGACTCACTGCTCCCATATTGCTTGGGCGTGCTTCAGTCTACATTTTCATTGAGGGCAGCACAAGCCAGAGCTTCCTGCCATGTGTCCCCATGCATGGCCCCTTTGGCTGGTGAAACAGCCAGTATGGCTTTATGTAAGCCGGATTACTGAAACAAAGTCTGTTGTTAAAAAGCACAGGAAGAAGGGAGAGGGTCCCTGCAGTAAGGGGCAGGGATGGTTTAAGCCAATAAAACTGAAGGAAGGCAAGGTGGACTTATATCTGAGAGCCATCTGGGAGTAGTTTACAGCTGAGGCTCTGGAAGGATCCAGTCCCTTGGGTTTTACATTGTTCTGTGTCCCTTAAACCACTAAATCCAGGGTGAGGGAAATCAACAGTGAAAGATGTCAGTGTTAAGCGAAGCCACTAAGAAATCAGTGGTGCTCTGACTTATGCATACATAGTTACGTAAAGCCCTGTGTCCTGCCTAACAGTTTGTCATGTGTTTTGTTTTTCAGATTCCGTTCTATGAGCAGATGTGCAAGGGAATTCAAGCAGGTGAAATGTGCGAGAAGTTGGTGGGATACTCTGCAGTGTACAAAGTCTGCTTTGGAATGGCCTGCTTCTTCTTTTTCTTCTGCTTGTTCACCATCAAAATTAACAACAGCAAAAGCTGCCGAGCTTATATTCATAATGGGTGGGTATTTGATTGTTTAATTACCTCTTCTGTTTATCGGTTTGTGCCGCTTACTTTCCAGTTGCATGTAGTACCAGGCAGGAAAAAAAAAGTTTGTCACTGCTTCTGTCAAGTGTAATGCAGTCAAGTGCAAACAAACTTAAACAGCAATCGATCAACAAAAGTTGTTTTTTTCTCTTGCTGGTCTTTAAATAGAGATTTCTCATGGTACTTGTTTTGAAGACCTCTAATTCCCATTATAATCAGATGATATCTTTTGTTTTCTCTTGGCCAGATTCTGGTTTATTAAGCTTCTACTTCTGGCAGCAATGTGCTCAGGAGCATTCTTCATTCCTGATCAGGACACTTTCCTCAATGGTACGTGCTTCTCATTTTGTTATGCTGCTTCATTCTGTACTACCTTGGGGGTGGTTTTAAATCCTAAAGGTCTGATCAATGTGGGTATGGCTGTACTTCTTCACGTAAAGCCAGTATAGTCCAGGTACAGAAGGGATATTTGGAGCTGTCTGTGAGGAACCACACACGCACAAAGATTAACCACTCATTGTTCGTGCTGACCACAAGCAGGCCAAGAGGGTAGGTAAAATAACTGCAGTGCTGTCTTGCAAATTCTTTAAGAAGCAGAGACCGCAGTGATGTGGCAGAAATTGTTCTACTGAGAGCACAGAGACGCATGTTAGCGTGGCTTTTGCAAGTAGCTCTGCTGTAGCACAGCAGCTGGGGACCATGCTATGTGGTGAAGTGGTACCATGCTGATGGTAGGAAGCAGGAAACTCTCAGTACCATGAAAGAATGTGGGATGTCACTATCTTTCAGGCTGGTGATGTAAACCTAGTAATGTAAAACTAGACTTCCCATGGCCTGTTGCAAGTGCCAAGCCCAGAGTGCTATGCTCAATGCATTTCCAGTTTTGGAAGACGCTCTGGTGCTGCTCAAGCATACTGTTGCTGGGCAAGTGTTTAAATGCCATTTCTATGGGTTACTTCTCAGAGGCCTCTTGGGTGGCAGCAGAAGTGCTGGTTATGATACCAAGATGAGTTTGTGCTCTTTTGTTTGCTAAGCCCTTAAGCTTTTTAGTCTGGGCGGGTGAAAAGGGGTAGATTCTGTCATGCAAAATAGCAGTTGTCTGTCTGCCACCTGCTTCCACTGAAGCTCTCTGGGTGTGCATGCTTTCAACTCCAATCTTCTGTGGATGTTCAGAGGGGTAAGAGGAGGGAGTAACACAAGGGAAGAGAATGCAGTGTACAGATGTACTACGAACGTGCTGCTTTGGGAAACTACAGTAAAAAACACTTGAAGTAAACCACTGAGGTTTACTTCACCTTCATGCTCTTACGGGCTGCTTGTGTTTGGTACTGGTTCAGTTTGATACCCCATATGTGAAGGGGTCCTTATCCCTGTTTCTCTTCTCCTCAAAGACATGTGATGGCTGTCTGTGCTTGCCCTTACTGGCTGATGAGTGCTTAGTTTAGAAAGATGCAGTGGTACAGTGTGTTACACTCATGAGCAAGCAAGACTCCCTGTCATCTTTGTGAGTGACTCTTTCCATGGCAAAAAGTCATCAAGAATTCAAGTGTTTGGGGAAGAAGTGAAACAAGATTATTTTTTTTGTGCTCGTTAGACGACTGTTTCTCAGTTGCAGTCTAACCTAGTGTGGAGATTCAGCGTAGGAAGCTTTCATCCCTAAATTAGATCTCAATTTTTCTCTGTAAAGCAGTATTCTATACATCCTGTTAAACTGCCTTCTATGAAGCCCTTAAATTTCAGCTTTACAGAGGGTCTGAGCATTGTGTGGTTTTGTTTTCTCTTGGTTTTCCCCTCCTATCAAGAAACCTGCACTGTATTTTATGCTTAAGAATATTCTTAGACCGTTCTGTCAGTCTGGTTGTTTTTTTTTGTTTGTTTGTTTGTTTTTTTATAAAAATGTAAAATTTTCTTCCAAGGCTTCCCATACTTAGCATTTTTTTAATCATGGAGGAGGGACATTATATGCTAGGCTTGTGGGGGCTGAAGCACTAAGTCCACTCTGGCCATGCTAACCTTATCTATGATGGATGTATAAAATATGCCACAGTGTCCTGCCTGTGGCAATGGGAGATCATAACTGAGAGTCTGGATATTTAATTACTCACTGCATTGTTGGTCTGCTTTTTCCTACACCACCTATTCAAAATACACAGGCACACCCTATTTTTAATGTATTTTTGCATGCTAGCTTCTTACATCCTTTTTTTGGTCCTATTTTGTTTTGTTTGTTTGAAGAGCACCATGCTAATCAAATGGATTTTTTTCATTTAGCAAAACCAGGCAAGTGGCATTTTTGCTTGCTTTCTGACAATGAACTTATTGTACAGTTGAAAAAAAAACTCTCTGCTTCATCTGCTAAGGGTAGTGTATCTGGGCTGTTCTGTTAGTCTGTTCCTTTTAGACAAGCTAAGTTTTTTTTTGTTGTTGTTGTTGTTTTTTTAAATCTGGAAGAAAAATACTCCATTAGCATACGGACAAATTTTGCTAATGTACTTTCTCAGTCTTCTTCACTGAAATCAGCTGCATACATGTACCTGGATTTATTTGTAGGCTGTACAACAACACAGGCTGATAAACATTTAGATAGGTATCGATATTTTCTCAGAGACTCCTGGTGTTGCACACAAGGGATTTGTTGTCCAAATTATTCCAGCAGTATAGAATAGAGCATATGTAGGTCAGTGGTTAAGTAGTCAAATAACCTGTTTTAAAACTAGTCAATGAATACCAAGTGTTCTGGTTTCTTTGGGAGTGGCTCAGGACAGCATTTGTAAACAGATGAGCCTCGCCTTTATTTTTCTGTGGTATTAGCATCAAGGAAAGTAATTGCCCTTTTTAGAACTGGGTTCCAATACCTTGCAATTTTAGGGTTTAGACTTCTGAATGCCTTCAGGCCTGCTCCACCCCCAACCAGTCACAAATAAAGGCTTCAGTATTTTCTGTCTGAATATAGTAACTTTGTCTCCACAAAAATTTTCTAGGTTAGGGAGTCTCGAATGTCCTTACAGGTTTATTTTGAAGGTGTAGTGCATTGCAAGCTGAGTTCAACATCAATCTTGAGGTAGCTCAGCTGATGTGTTGGATGAAATCTCTAATCACCTGTTACATCTGTGGGCTTGAGATATTTGAGCTGTGTAATAGCTTCACTTGATAGACCTAATTCCATTTTCTCTCAAGGGAAAGGTGACCGCAGTTTTACCTATTTTGTGTCTCTGCCTTGCAGCCTGGCGCTATGTAGGAGCAACAGGAGGTTTCCTTTTTATTGCTATTCAGCTCATCCTGCTTGTTGAGTTTGCACACAAGTGGAACAAAAACTGGTATGTGTTGGGCAAGTAATTATTTGTGTAATATTCTGATGGACTCCTGAACAACACATTCCTTGGAACAAAGGAGCACAGCATTTAAAAGTAGTGTGGATATAATTTCTGAAAGAAGATACTTTAAAGTTGATATTTAGATCTGTGCATCTTTTTTTTATACACTGTTCTGCTTCCCAGGTGGAGGTGTTTCCTCCTTATTCTACTCTGAACCTCAGTTTAACCTTTCTTAACCTCAGTTGTTCTGCTTCTAGTAAGTAGTAGCATGTTGGGATGCGAACATCACTTATTTTAAGCTGTTCCAGTTTTGGATGAAAACGCAGCTGCCAAGAAACAGAGAGGTGCAAGAGAATAAAACTGGATTTGCAAAATGTAACAATGAAACTGCCTGTATGCAGTGGTACAAACTGATACATCCTGTTTTTTGACGTCAGCTTAATGCACGTCAAATGACTTACTTATTTATTTGTGGTCACGAGAACTGCAATGTTCTCTCCCTCCAACTTATTTGTTTTCATCTAAACATGCAAGATTCCATTATCAACCCACATATATCATGTTTTGGCATTGACTTAATTTGTTTGATATTATCACCCCAGCCCTTAGCCTCTCATCATGCGTTGAAGTATTGAAATTGTTCTCCCACATACACACAGGAACTCCTGCCTCCCCATACAACTTGTCCTGTCTCTCATTTCTTCCCCTACAGCCTTTGCTGCCTTCTCTTGTTTCACTTAGCATGCTGTTAGGAAAGGTTTCAGCAAGCCTTTGGGCTTTTTTAGATACCCATTTTCATGTAGGCAGTGGTGAGATCTCCTTATGTGACAAGTATGTGGATGAAAACTTTCCAGCAGCAGCAGCATGTAATGCTATCAGTCTCTACAATAGATGTTCTTTTCAAACGAGCCATGTTTTCACAGAAAAAAACACTAATGCTAAGGAACATTTCTGTCAGTTTCATGGGAGAAACCTTGCAATTACCTGTGTTAGTGTAGTGATACACACATGCTTCAGGAACATAAGCCCTGTTTTTTGTGTTTTATATAAACTGTTCAACTATTAGAACTTTATTTTTTAGGAAAGGGAGATAAAGATAAGGTGCTTGTCTCTGTCTCCCCAGGACTGCAGGTGCAAACCACAAGCAGATGTGGAACGGTTTGCTCGCCCTGGTCACTCTCGTCTTGTACTCTGTTGCTGTGGCAGCCCTGGTCCTCATGGCTCTCTTCTACACACGCTCAGAGGGCTGCATGTACAACAAGGTCCTGATCGGTGTCAATGGTGGCCTGTGCCTCTTCGTGTCGCTGGTAGCCATATCGCCCTGTGTCCAGAATCGTGAGTCTGCTGACCTTTTCCTCCTGGTTTTTGGGTACTTCTATGGTTGTGTGCCTTGAGGCATGAGCTATGTTCTGGGCAGAAAGACTCATGATAGCTCAGAGCTAGTGCTGCTCTTGTCCCTGTCCCCTTATCTACAGTTTGAAGTGCTGTTGCTGATCAAGTTGGCTGCTAGGTGTGAGATGCTGTGGGTGTGCCGTTAGCCACTTATACTTAAAGAACACTCAAATGCTGATGTCTGGTGATGTGTTGAGGAGTTTACACAACTCCCGCAGCAGTAACAGTTGAGGCAATGGCTGTAAAACCCTTTAACCTGTTTTAGCATTGCTTTTTGGCTGCTTATGATTTACCATTTGTAAAGCTGGGGTCTGTAGCAGCTGACAGCAGCATTTCATGCTTCTCTGGTATGTTTTATGTATGTTGTTAGTATCTTGCATACATTGGACCTGGAAATAGTAACTTGAGTGTCTCCAAAACAAATATTATGGGCAAATAAAACGATTATGGCAGCCTGTCAATAGCTTTTGGAAAGCTGGTTCTTTTGGCAAGAACAGAGGGGTGATTCTTTTCTTATGTGGGAATCTTTAATTCCTTTCTAAAACAGTCAGTAGAACTAAAGGACAGGCTCCTTTCTCTTTACCTGCCAGAGGAAACATATCTGAACTGCCTCAAAGACTTATGAACTGCTTTAAGTAAAATGTAAAAGATACTCTTCTCTTCTGAAAGATACAAGTGTGCTTTTCTTTAAGGGATATGAATTTATTTTTCAGTCTGTTAAAATACCCACAAAAATAATCTCTTGTCCTTTTTCTTCAAAAGGCCAGCCCCATTCTGGTTTGCTGCAGTCAGGAGTTATCAGCTGCTATGTCATGTACCTCACTTTCTCAGCATTATCCAGCAAGCCACCAGAAACCAGTAAGTTACCTTCTGCTTTATGTAAGTCCTTTGAGACATGCTATGTATTAAAAGCAAGGTGGCCTTTAGTAAACCTTAGCAGTGAGGAATTTAGGAGTGCTGGTTTTGATCTGCTCTGGCCTGTGCAAAAGAAGTTGCAGATAATAAATTTTTGCAGTATTTGAAAGACTGTGCAATGGATGCTCTCCCTTGTACCTTGAACACTTTGGTCTAGGGGAGTTGCAACTCACTGTGTGTGGGTTGCATCTCTTGCACCAGCGTCATTCTAGTTTGTTTACTACTGATAAGTTTCCCAGAGCCCTGCATTCTGTCCCTCTGTATGGCAAGTGTATGTGCTCGTACAATAGGACATGACTAAATACATAACATGTTTGGTCACATGATGGGAATAGAGTTGGGACAAATGGAAATGGCTGTTAAATGCCTCTGGAAGAGGTTTGGTGACCAGCTCTATCCAGAAGGTTACTAGGTCCACCACCATTAGTAGGTACCTTGCACCCAGGTAGCTTTGTTCTGTTCTTGCTCTGCTGGCCATCAGAGTGGTTACTAAAATTGCTTGTTTTCTCCTACGATTGTTTCGCTAGGTACCCTTAGCTCTAGGCTCCCTTAGTCTCCTGATGGAACAAAAACTTGAGTATTGCTCATCTTTCACTATGAAAGAAAGCGTTCTGGGAAAAGACCTGGGGTTATGCTGCAGTTGTTTGAGTTGACAGTGTTCTTCAGCAGAGTTCCCGTACTCCACACATTCTAACAGTTCACATTGCAAACAAGAAGCAGGGAACTTCCCTAGTGTCTTAAGTCCCTTGTGGTGCAAAAACAGATCAAGACTTCACACGTTCAACTCAATTGGTTTCCTTTTCCTGCATAATCATTGTAATCATTATATTCACCTATTCGGACAGGGAACATGCTTTTCACTCACAGAAGACGTCTCTTATTTCAGATCAGTAATGAAAAAAGACCTCCGTTATTATTGCTCAGCTTTTAGTGTTGAAAAGCTGAAGCAACAACAAGTAGAAGTACATGGGCAGGAAGGAGAAGTTTTATAGACACTTGCCCAGAAGAAACGGGAGAGAGGGGAAGAATCTCTCTCTCACATTTGTCTATGTGAACATAGACACATAAACAAATGTATTCCAGAGCTAAAAACAAAAAACAGGCTGTTTTGGTGGAAGATTTACTTATGTAACATAAGCAGCACTTTCAAATGAATATAGAAACTCATTTAGATGACATCTGAATTACTCATAAGATTTGACACAGTCTAAAAGAAAAGAAAGTGATGTGTGATATTAAATCATTGGTTTTGTGTTATTTCATACTTGTGACAATCAAAGCTTTCAGTAGTTAAGTGAATGCTCTGATTCTTCTGGTATGTATTGCAACTGTGATTATTGCCTTTGGCAGAGTTTGCTTCAAGCATGTTGTCTCAGGCTCCCTGCATTGACTGTTCCTAATTGTCTTTGCTCCTGTTTTCATAATACTGACTTTTATAATGCCTTGTGTACTTTTTACTGTGGCACATGCTGGAGCTGACACTTACTAAAGTGTCCCATACCTTGTCACTCAGATTTGCCGCACGCTACCTAGTGTGGACTCGTACCTTAAGCAGGGACCTCCAAGTAAGCTGTCTCACAAACTAGGCCTGAAGAAAGCGTAAGCTACAAATACTTATTTGCAACATTAAAAAGCACAGTTGCCAATGTCTTTAGAAGGGAAAGGCAAACAAAAGGAAATTGCCGTTGAACCTGTACTTATCGCAGTGTGCCTTTGATTTCTGATGCCAGACTTAGCTAAAAGGCCTGCCAAACAGCGGCCTGCCTAGCTGCTGTATCCTGTGATGGGATATAGTTGGGGGATTCTGCCTGTCTCCTGCCAAGGTGTTCCCTAAAGGCTTGTCTTCCCTTCTTTGCTCCTGGCATTACTTTGTCCCTGTCATCTGCTGATAACGCTGTTTATGCAGTCCTACATAGAACCAGGTCAGGGGACTGATTTCAAGTTTATTTTTAACCTGGGTGTAGCCTTTGCTGTATTTTGCCCTCTGGCCCTCCAAACAGTTATGCTGCCCCAATGGGGATACAGTGGAAGGAAAGAGGTGATGGGAACACAGCTTGCTTTGAGTGGTGTTGGCATGAAAATCTCTTGATTTGAGATAAGGGGCAGCTGGAATAAGCTCCTTTGGGGTGATGCTAGACTACTACTCTGCTTTGGATCAAAAGCAGATGCCAAAAGGCCAGACACATCTTGGAACATCAAGGACTAAATTGGTTTCATTTCAGGAACCTAGAAGTAATATTTGCTTAAATGTTAAAGTAAAATCTTGCCTGCAACCAATGCATCTCTTTGTGTTTGGTCTTCTGTATATCTGAGGGCAGGACAGCTACATGCTACTTCTTTTTTCTGACTATTAATTTCATAGCCGTCCTTAAAGCACATCTGCAGCCAAATAAATTTATAGTCTCCGGTGCATACTATCTCAGTTTTATATAGCTTTTTAGTCTTGCATGAAGGGCTGGGAAACTTCCAGCTTTTTATTTCTTAGTTCACAAGATAGTCTCTTTCCTTGTTTGGCAGCTCTAGTCACAGAAGAAGCTCTAGTACCCTACTAAGTTGCAGTGTTTTCCCCAAAACATGTGATCTGCCAGGCCAGATTTATAGAATTTATGACTTTTCTAAAAGATAGATGGCAACAACTGAGATGTATCTACCCAGTGTCTGAAGTAATAAAACTATTTCCCTGAATATCTTTACTCTGAACAGTCCTTTGAAATGCGTTGAAATGAGTATTGGTAACTGTTATTTTCATTTCATTTTTGTTTTGTGAAGTCCTGGATGAAAACAATCAGAACATCACGATCTGTGTACCTGAATTTAGCCAAGGCCTGCATGGAGATGAAAACCTTGTTACGGGTCTGGGTACTACCATTCTCTTTGGCTGCATTTTATACTCTTGGTAAGTCTGGGGGTCTGCACTTAACCTTGCTGTAAATGCAGTGTCATCGAACTAATAAAGGCTTATAGCAGTTTTCAAGCAGACAACATCATGGTGATAAATAAAACTGAGCTGGAAGGTTCCTATTCTCCTTAATTTCAGAATGGTTGGATGCTCTAGCCAAAAATGTTCAACAAGATAATATAACTTCTGAAACAAATGTTTCATTTCATTAAAACCAACTAGAGCAATTCACAGCTAAAGGTAGAGAGAGAAAGCTTCCAGCTGTCCATGAAGGCAAACAGTCTCAAGGAGCTTTGATTCTGCATCTAATCTTCTCTTTACGAGTTACTCCATGCAGTTAGGTCCATCTGAAAAAGGTATCTGAAGTTTCTGTAATGTCCTGGCAGAGGCTAAAAACTACTTGGGAGGGATTATGCCTTCCTTTGAACAACTGATGAGTACAGGACTACTGTAAGGATTTACCATCAACGTCTTCCTCTAAAATCTGTCTGTGGCTGTACAGTTACGTTGCTCACCATGTATTATCGCAGCTTGGACCAATGAACTAAGCCATACACTGGGTGGAAAACAATTGCTGATCATAAAAACATTATGCATCACTGTTTTGACTGCGTGGGTTGTCAGGAACAGTACTGCCTGTACTGCAGGTATTGGAGCATGTTCTGCTTCAAGTCCACTTTGGAGCTGATGTGCTGAGACTCTGTAATAATTCTGAAGTGAATGTGAGAGGTTTTTTTGAAGAGGTAGTATGGTGTCTCTTCTGCCATCAAATATGGATATTTGTTGCATTTAGTTCCTATATCAAATATTGGATTGGTTGCGTAGATCTAGTTCACAGCAGAACAGCATTTCCAATGTGACAGGAGGGTGTTTGGGGAATGTGGATGGCTTTCAGGTGGCCTGCTGGAGAAGTGCACCATGTATCTGAGGAGATGAGGGCCGTCAAGGGGAATGTTCTGACCTATTGCTTACTAAGGATGAGTGTGTACAGCAAAGCGTATCACACATCTCTTTGTGGGTAATGGGAAATTTTCTTTACACATCCTGAGAGGGGAAGGCTGGATGGCTAAGAAATATTTCTAATCAGAAGAAACTAGGAAGGATTCCCCCCAGATGGTTACAGTCATGCAGGAAGGTGATTTTCTGCAACTGGAACACTGACAATAGAGGTTGGTAAACTACTGCTGAAAACTGACTCCAGCCAGTGACAGGTTTCTTCTCTGGCAAAGCCTTTAGAGAAGCATTTTATGAATGCTGCGCAAAATTGACGGCTGTGAAGTTAATATAAAAGCATTGGTTATGCACAGCAGGGGAGATCTCATTTAAAATGCAAATTGGAGTGCTGAGCTGTTTGCTGGTGTCTGCTGGTGATGAATTCACCGCTTTCCAGAAGCGACCTACTTTTAAGGTTGTCTGAGTTGGTTGGTGGCTTTCTGTCAGGCTGGTTTATACTTATGCAGAAGAAACTTTTCACATGCTTAGTGCTTGATGCTTAAGCGTGGGAGTAGACTACTTATGTTTCCTGTGGGTGTGAAAAACCACCCTTCTAGGCTTATATTTATGCCAGTATTCTGACTCGATCTTCTTCTGCTCCTAGTTTGACCTCAACAACACGTGCAAGCTCTGAGGCATTGAGGGGAATATATGCAGCACCTGAAACTGAAGTGAGTTCTTGCTTCCTCCCACATTATTTCTGTGCAGACTTGTCGTGTGCTTTCCTTGCTGTTGTTTTCATGGCTAGTTAATCTGTAATTACGTAAAAACAAAAGGTTGTTAGCACACGTGCTACTTGTCTCTGGGTCTGGAATTGACAGAATATTTTTTCCACACTGGCCTTCCTGCAGCTCTTGCTGGTCCCTTGGCAGTGCCTTTATGCAAGAGCAGCAAATTATTTCAGTACAGTTTACACAGCATTGTATAAACTTCCTGTAAATCTTCTGCTCCTCATAAGCTCATGTCCTCTCATTCAAAGAAAAAATCTGCAGGACACTAAGAAGCTATCTAGATAAAGCAGTTCTTGAACACTTTAGATCCTGATTGCTTTTGGTTTTGCAACAACATAACAAGCATGTATGACCCCAAGATCATCTTATTTTTATTTTTGTACGTGAGTATTTAATTTCTTTTTAGTTATATCTCAAATTGTATTTATTTTTGATCCATGTTTTCTTTCCTCAGCACAGTTCTTCATTCTACCTGCCTGTTAATTTGGCATACTTGTCCAAGCAATACCCAGAAATACTGGGGAAGAAAGTGCTTTTTTGTTTTTTTTTGGTATGTAACAATTACTCCATACTTAGGCTTAGCAGTGTCACACATTGAGTGTGTGCTTGTGTGTGGAGGATGGATCTGCATTCCTAGCTCACTTTTTGCTGCTGTTACTTGCACCTGCAGTTTGATTAAGGACTGAAAAATTGAAGCTAAATGTTTAAGTGTTTGTGAGAATACAAAAATGCAGAAACATATAATGAGGAACTTGCTGTTTGTAGCAGCTGGACAGGAAGAAGGAAAACGCATTTAGTCTTGGGACCATATCAGGGGCTGTGGGAGCTTCTCCTTACTTCTAGCAAAAGCATACAAGCCATGGCTTCATAGCGTCACCCTATGGCTTCATGGCTGATGCGTGCCCTGCTGCAGGAGGGGCACAAGCTGGGTGAGCTGCTGGATGTGGCCGGTTTGCTAGGAAGGTCTAGCTCTTCTCCTGCCACACTTGCCAGTGGGGTTATTTCTGCACCATTTGGTTTTAAAGAGCAGTACAAGAGCCACTGAATGTTAATGTAAAGAAACGACTAGCAAAGAGCAACTAATTGCATTCTGATTGTTTTCTCTGTAATAAAGGGCCCTTGTCTTCCCAAACATGAATATAAACATAACTTAGCAGTTACTGGTGGTATACAGAAACTCTTTCAGTGTCCATGCTGAAGACAGCTAAGCGTGATGAAGGGCTAGTTGTATGTGTGCCAGGATTGCTGTTAGCATCAGCATGTGTGCAAGGACTTAATTTCTGACAAATGCAACTAATTAAAATGTTTGAGGGAACCCAGGACTTGCTTCAGAATCTTAATACAGCCAAAGGAAAACTCAGGCTAACAGTGTTAGGTGAGGCTTAGTGTAACAGTGGAAAGAGCATGTTAACCCACCGAGATGCAGAATAAAAGCTTTCCTTAAACTCTCAATATAGTCTCTTAAAAAAAAAAAAGCGAGCTTTTTGGCTTTTCCTAAATTTATGAACCCAGTGAATACATGTAATCAATCATAGGTACACAGGGTAAAAACTAGTTTGTTTCTGTTGGAAACTGTAAAGACTTAGTACGTGATTTTTGGAGTTCATTGTCTTTATCAGATCACCAAAAAAAAATAAATCCTGGAGTTGAATTTCATCAGAACAAATGATGTTGATGACACAGTACAGAACATACTGACTTGTACAGTGGTCTGGTGCAGAAATGCACCTAGTTATATATTTATTGTACTGTCTGCACCGTTATTCCATTTACATTACCACTCAACACAAGGAGTGTCTGACCCTTCAGCAATTTCAGCTTTCCCTTTTCTATCAGTTAAAAACCAATAATGTTAATTTAAGTGAAATGGTAAAAACCACTCTCTGCTTGTACTCATTCTGGCTCCATTTCAGCAAAACCGTGCAAAGATAAGTACATTTCAGACTTAGGTGTTTATTATTCTGACTCCCAACCCATGCAGTTCCTTGTATCTTTGTTTCGGTGGAGTATTTATTTAAAGAGCACTTAGATGCAAGTCTAAAGAGGTTAGTCCCCTGTGAATTACTAATGTGCAACCATTTTATTATAGCTTTTCCGCCATCTTATCATAAATTGTTTGAACTGTAACACTACCAGTACTTGACCTTGAATTATATAAAACGAATAGAGTAATTCTTAAAGAACAATTAATTTACTCCAACTCTTACTGAGTAGGTTTTTCCAAAGCTTAGAAACTGCTGTTATGAACAATTTGGCAAATCCTAATCTGAGGTTTGTGCTGGTTGGAAACACAAACCAGACTTTTCTAAATTAGTGCCTGTAACTTAGACATAATAAGGCCTCCTCCACCAACTGTTCTGCTTCTTTGGTCTTGCACAGACTCTTACCCTTCCTGTTGTTTTCCACAGGTAGCTCGTTGCTGCTTTTGCTGTGTGCCTGATGGAGATGGTAATTACATTTGCACTACATGGTTTTTATCTAGCTTGTGGCTTCCAGACCAAACCAAAGAGAGTTAAGGACACAGCCACAGACAAAGTTTCTTGTATTGCCTTGTTCTGTAGTGTGTCAAACTGAAGTAGCTGCAGTACTCAACATTAGACTAGGGAAGAAAGTAAGAGACATAACAATATTGTTTTAAAACATGAGGCAAGTTAATAATTTCTTAAAGGGTGTCTTGTTAATGCAACATACAAAGAGTAATCTCTGTTCTTTGTATGCTTGTGGGTGTGACCAACTGTGGGATTTTTGGCTGAACAGTGCTACAGGGACTCCAGTTCAGGAGGGAGTGTCCTGTTTGCAGATCTGGTACAATCAAGGATATCAACCTGTACTTGCCCGGAGAATATCCTACAGGTAGAGCAATATAAATGGCTCAAATGCTTAAAAAGCAGCCAGTGGACCAGGAACATGATGCAGTGCAGCGTTTCAGTGGCATTAGTGTTTGTTTTACTAAAGGGTTAGGTTCAAGCCCCGAGGGCAAGAAAATGTTTGAGTATTGTTCTGTATTATGCTTTGCTGAATCACACTGTAGACGTGTTGCTCTGTTCTTCATGATGCCAGCTGATGTTTTCAGTTCTCATTAAATTTACAAAAGTTTTCTTGTTTCCTGTCTCTTTTAGCTGATGCTGAAGAGCACACTGAAAAAAGAGGAGGCCAGACCGTGATTTACGATGAGAAGAAGGGCACAGTGTACAGCTATGCTTACTTCCACTTTGTTTTCTTCCTGGCTTCACTCTATGTAATGATGACAGTAACCCACTGGTTCCAGTAAGTGCATTTCTTTTAAAGCTGAAAAAATAATGTCTCTTGTATTGAGAGGAAATATCTGAATGGGAATGCCTGCCATTCGTGTGTCTCCTCTCCTAAGTAAAAACCTGGGAGAGAGGATGTAAGTGTATCCTGGGGTACTTTTGAGCAAGGTCTTGCTCAAAAGAGTAGCTCTCCTTTACTTCATGGCTGGGATAACCTAGTTGAAGTCTGTGACCCACCTAGAAGAAACAGGGGATGCTACAATTTGAGATAAGAATGGTGAATTTATTGCATTTTTTTTTCCTTTAACAGCTATGAAAGTGCTCAAATTGAAAAATTCTTCACTGGAACCTGGTCCATCTTCTGGATTAAGATGGTCTCCTGTTGGGTTTGTGTCTTTCTATATTTATGGACTCTTATTGCTCCACTGTGTTGCCCAACCAGACAGTTCTCAGTATGAACACTCAGAAGATCCTTCTGCATATTTACTTTTTTTTTTTCCTGTTACAAATAAAGTACAGCAGTCACTTTGTAATGAGGAGAAACCTATTGCCCAGTTACCGTAATATACCAGGTATTAACTTTTTAGTCAGACTAAAATGACTGAAGACATTTTTTAACCTCTTCTAATTGTCAGGAACAAGTGTTGCCCAAGGGGATAAATCTGTTCCAAAATTTTGTAACACTCGTGTATAGTATGGGAAATTTGGTTGTTGCAGAAACTGGAATAGGTGAAATACTTTTCAAATAACTGACAATCTTTCTCTTACTTCATTGATAAGAACAGAAAAAAAAATATGGTGCAGATGTATCTTCTTCCTGTGAATGTTGAATATCTTCTAGCAAAATGCATTCCTTTTTATACTCTTATTCACCGTGTCTTTAGCAATGATAATTTGGATTGCTGTTTTTACAGCCTATAATTCTTGTAAGTAGCAACCAGATAATTTTTTTCCAGAAAGATACCTAAATACTTCTGTAGAAATAGAGAATATGCAAGAATTTGACTGCCAAAGCATCTTCTAAAAATTGTAAAAATGTTAAAATATATTTTAAGTTATTGTATACCTAGACTGAGAAAGGAATGTACCATTGATAATAGAGTATTTATCCTATTTTAACTTAAACAGGCACCTAAATATTTTAAGTAACTCAGAATTGGTCTAGTTGTTAACAAAAGGAGAGTTTTACACACAGATTCTTAAATGATGCTTTGCCAGAGTAAGATTAGTAACTATAAAGTTTGTGTACTGTATGGGGATTTAATATGGTACATTCTTTATTTGGAATGTTTGCTGTTGAGAAAATGCTAATTACCGGAGCGCTGCCAGTTGCTGTTGGCTGAGCACTCCGCTTTTAAAGTCACTTTTCTACCCTGCTGTCTCAGCCTGTTCCTGAAAATCTCCCAGGGTCTTCAGTTCTGTTTCTATTCCTAATTTGATAATATTTAAAATGCAGTGGTAGTCAGAAAAAGGACTATAGTATATCGTCTTCCTTTTCTGCTTGTGCGTTGGTTGGAAGGTTTCTTCCTAACTGCTATAATTCTATACCCTCTGTTGATGTTCATTTTGCTGTTGGAATGGGAGATAGACAACTGATTAATTCATGGAGACTGAACTTCTTTTGGAGAACTCCTATTCCAGGCAGCAGGGTAAGCAGCCAGGAAAGCAAAACCAGAAAACACAAGTGTGACAGCAGCTGCCTTAGTGCAAATGACTGACTTGACAATATTAAGCCCTATTATATCGCTTTTGTTTGCTTCAAGCAGATGATTTGGTGGTAGAACAACAGCTCAGCTGCTCTAAGTGCTGAATACGTTTGAACACACTTCAGTTATCTACATTCCAGTGGGAAAAAAATATGACTTACATTAGTACCAGAGTCTTTCTCTTCTCTCTCTGTGTATATATATACATACAATGTGAAATGTGCAGGATATAAACAAAATCAACCAATTTAGCAGGGTATTTTTGTTGGTTCTTTTTTTTTTTTAATATGGTTGAGCCTTAAATCGTCACTCAATGCTTTCTACAAAACAAAAGCACAACATAGAGGTCAATGAGATGGCCAAAATATTTGCATGCCTTATTTGTTCTGTTGCAATAACTGATAGCTAAGGCACGCATGGTGAGTAATCCTAAAATGCAACAAATCTCAGCTTTGCTTCCGTTTCCTTTGACACTTTTAGCTGACATCTTGCTGTGGTATCCTAGGGCTTCTGTCCTGCTTGGAACGTGCTAGGAGTGTGATCCTCCCAACTCCAAGCACTCTTACCTTGAGCAAAATCCACAGGTTTGTAGTCCTGCATACTTGTATTACCTACCCCAGTGATCAGGACTCAAAATACCTCTGGTATGAAGTCTGAGGAAAAGAGGAGTCTGCTCAGAGGTGAACCCCTTGCTCTTCTCATTATTTTCACCTAGGGAAAAAAAAAAAAAAGCAGTTGAAGCTTATCTTTGATGTTGAGTTAGAAGAGCAACCAATAGCTCTGGAGGTGGTGGCAGGCTTTTGTCATTGCTTTTGCTCATGCTCTGAGATCCTGGTCTGATCAAGAGCTCTGCTAGCATGGGGTCTGTCAGTATCCCCTCGTGCATTTGGAGTCTAGCCACGTAGATGCTGCTGCAGCAGGGAGGCCTTTGTTAATGCACATCCAGGAAGCGTTTATCTGCCCCATCTCCAGGATAAGAGCTTATGGGCTGTGCAGTGATGAGGAACAGTTGCCTCACCTAACTGGCAGCAGTTATCTGACAGCCTTGATCCAGAGCTACGACTGTGAGCTGCAACTGAGATGGTCCAGCTCCTTGCCTCTCGCGTGGTGAATGTGAACGCCGATCCCTAACATACAGAGGCTCCTAGGAGTGGCCTTCTCGTGTCACGTATGCTATGGTATGAGAAACCAAGCGTATTTTATTAAAATTAGCATTGGTTTTTGTAACAGAACAATCGGGGAAAGGAGCTCCACAGAAGAAGGCGTGTATGACATCTTACCTGTTTAAAAAATGTTTATTTTTGGTAGGTAGCATCTTCCTACGCAAAGACTCGATGTACCTCCTTGTGCTCATTTTTTTTGTAGTTTGTATTTAGGGAAATAGGTTTTGCACAGAGGAAACAGGGTTGTAAGAGGAAAATCCACGGTGAGACCTGAGTCTGTTCTTCACAGCACTTGTCTTGCTGAGTTGTTCCTTCATCCTTCCCTTCCACCAGACCTTAGATCTCTGCAGGTATGCACAGGGTTGGAATTCTGACTATGCTGCCTCCGATGCTTCTGAGCAAACACTGTGGAAATGACCCTGACAATAATTATTAGGACCTGTCTGTCCATGCTGAGACCCCAGGTACAGCTGTGGGTCTCCAGGCCTTTCTACGGCACTGATAATCGCTGGCACCTCGGTGCACAAAGCCTCTGGCTCCTCAGTGAGGCCCAGACAGCCTCCTGATGGCCTCGCAAATCCTGCAGCCTTAGCATTTGTAGTGAAATCTGTACTGTGAACTGCCCACATGCAACTACTTCATACAAACCCGGGGCTAGCGTCTAAGATTCCAATGCCCAAAACGTACTTTGTGAACAGTTGACACAAATGGGCTTTTATAATCTTTTTAACAAGTGCCTTTGGACCTACTGCCATGAGAGCTAGTAATTCAGGTGGCACTGGAACTGGAAAGCCTGGGCTGAGCCTGTGACTCGGTGCTGCTGCCTTGTACACGACACCGGCGCGTACGAGGTGCGGCCATGACCTGTGGTGCATGTGGAAGACCAAACAATTGTGCTTGGCAAACTGCTGGAGCGGGACTGATTTCAGATGTAACGGTGCAGTGGAAGACAAACTGGGAAAACTCACAGACAGCCTGATGATTCTGTAAGTAAACAAGCAGCTGCTGCTGACACTTACACGGTAAGCTGTCAGACCTTCTCCCCCCGTTCTGAAAGGGCAGGTTGCTGTGCTCGAGGCAGTGCGGTGTCTCCTGCACCGACACGTGCCCTGCACCGTGGCTGTGCTCTGAGTTTGTTCCCAGAAATAAGACAGCAGCGCAGCACTTCTGGCTCCTGCTATTTTCGAACTGTGTGAAGTGAGGAAACTGCTGTTTCAAAGACAGGAAGACCAGAGAACATGTCCTGTGCTGCGTTTCCTCTGGTTGAACTCAAATGTGAACTAATGCCATTGTTTAGGGGACTTTTGGAGGAACGGTCCGGGTTGGCAGAAGTCAATTCTGCTGGGAAAATGGAGTACCGTACTGGCATTTTCCTACTTTCCCAAACTTGCCAGCAGATGGAAGGTTAGGTGGAACCTGGTTGCTGCGCTGCTGCCTGAGGCTGGGGCAGTTTTACTTGTGAGGGCAACCAGGAGCTGAAATTGTGACTGGTTCTTGTTGGGGATAAAAATCAATGGGATGGACTCAGAGAGCGAGTCCCTGAGAGCCCAGACAGCCGGACTAACAAGTGAGGCCACGAAACCTTACAAAAAGCACGCGGAGAGCAGGTGGAGACGTCTGCCTGCTGCTTGCCACCCCCCTCCTCGCAGCGTGCGGCTGGGTGCTCTGTGCTCACAGGTCAGGGCTCGGCGCTTCTGATGCTTCTTGCTCTGTCCCTCGGGCGTTTCCTTTTGGGATTGAAAAGCTCATTCGTACCCAGCTGAGCTGGTGGATCCTGGCTAGGTTTGGGCCGCTTTTGTCTGAAACGGGTAATGGGGTGCTGCTGGTGTGGGCGCAGTCCAGAGAGAGGGCTCACCCCTCGCGGTAGCATGACCTCTGCACGCTGCGCACCTATTTATTTATTTATTTTGTGTTTTAGCACCTTTTTCACGAGCCCTGGAGCGCTTTGGCAGTGTGAGCTGTGCACCTGTAACTGCTTCACCAGCCACTGGCGCAGCATTTTCTGGGCTGGGGCATCGCCAGGAGCGGAGCAAGCATTGCACTGCGGGGGGCGGGAGGGGAGCTGGCTTCTCACCACTGCATCAGGAATTTGGGGACCTGGGCGAACAGTCCACAGCGTCACAGGGATCTCTGAACAAACCGGTAACAGAATAATTCACTGGCTGTTTTTAAAACATGCTATAAAGGATTTTATGCTATAAACCATCACGCTTTCCTCCTAAATGTGTCAGTGAAGCAAAATACTGCGAGATTGTACATACGGGGCTAAATCAGCGAGATTATCTGCAGTTAAAAAAATATTTATATCTTTCCTTCAGGGCTTTGATGCAGTGTCTCTTCCATGCAAGTTGTGTCCCCTCATTTTCCTTACCTTTCTCTCCCTGAGTCTGTTCTTTGAAGGCGCTGTAAGCCTGCTTAACTCCTGCTCTGCTGCCTGCAGCTGGGATGCGGTCGGTGCTAGAGACGCGCTGAGTTCTCTGCCAGCTTTTCTCGTTCCTTGCCTTTCTGTACAAGGACAGCCTGCAGTGTTGAAGCAAAGTCCAGGATGATAGTTTTGTACAGGGATCAGCTTTCCTCTGTGAAAAATGCATCTTTTGTTTTCCTGAGGTGGCCTGCAAGTTCTGGTGGGAGGAAAACACGTAACCAGGGCAGTGGAGCTTCACTCTCTGCTTCCAGCTTTGTAAACAGCAGTCTGAACCCGGGGCTTTGTCTGGCTACAAGGGAATGCCAGGGGTCAAGTGCTTAGGAAGCGTGGGCTTTTTGTGCTCTTAAGAGTTTTTGTGCTCTGAAGAGGACACGCAGCTTGGGAACTGGTGCGTCTGCGTTTGCAACATCCCCAAGGCACAGTGCAGAGCATCCCGGGGAAAGGCAGGTACAGGGCACAGAGCCCGGAGGAGCAGCCTGGGGCTCCGGGTCAGGAGGCCTCACACTGTGATGGCCACTTCCTAAGGCCAGGAGAAGCTCTGTAGGTTTCAAAAATCCACTTGTGTTGTTTTGCTTTTTCTTTCCCCAACCCTGGTTTAGAATCATTCCACATCTGTTCAACAATACTGTGTTTTTTAAAAAACAAAAACACTTCGGATTTATTTCAAATGCAAACCAGATTGGCTCCCCCCGTCTGCCAGTCTCGCACAGCTCGCAGCCCTGCAGCACCCGGCTGTTTGCGGAGCTGCAGCCGTCAGCCCTGACACCGCTCCAGCAGCCGGCAGCTGCCAGGGCCCGCATTAGTCGGAGTTGTGGGGTGCAGCCCTGGGGCTGTGTCTCTGCCAAAGAAGTCTCGGTCCGAAGCCAAGGAAAATTTGGGAGAGCTGTAGGAAAATAATGTGCCGTTACTCATACCTTTAGCTTTATTTTTCCTCTTGCTGATACACGTCCAGGTGCTTAGATGTCATTGGGTATCCACGCAGACTTCAAGCGAGGAAAACTGATGTTCAGAGAAAATTTTTCAACTTGTCTCTACAAGCTGAGAAGATATTTACAAGGAACATATGGTTCATTGTCTGTTTTTATTTACCAGAAACCAGTGGTGTTTAGTCTCGTGTATACCATGTTTGAAAACTGGATGCAAACTAGGGAAAATGTAAACACTTTCTTAATGGTGAAGGGTTTTTAATTAGTCCTTTTCAAGGTTCTTAATATCTCAAGGGAACTCTTTGGTGTGTATGTGTGGTTTTGTTTTATTAATCTGTAGCTCAGTGAAGTGGAGGTTTGCTAGTTTATTTAACATTTTTTGTGAGTGTTGTGACCTGTATAACTGTAACGCTTTGACTTTTAAGGGTTGGTAGACTTCAGAATTCTCAGAACTAAATTGTAAAACAGCGTTTGCCTTTTTAAAGCATGTTAATGGTTTTTATGGACACTTCCTTTTGTATACTGAGTGAATGTATTGTTATAGGTTTAATGTTTAATGGACCAATAAATAAAGTTTTTCTTACATTTGAAACGAAGTGCTATGATATGTAAAACCTGAGAAGAGTTCACCTCTGGTGGGACGCAAGGCTGGTGTGCCGCAGCCCCAGGACCCCGACGGCGCAGGCAGTGGGGGTGAGGAAGATCTGCATGCCAGGCTGAGAAAATGTGGGACTGCAGTGCCTTGGCTTGCCAGAGGCCACACATGAAGCTCTGTTTTTGCTGTACAACAGTCCAGAAAGAAGGGGTGGTGGTGGTTCAGGAGTCGGGCTCTGCAGTTCCTGAATTTGGAGGCCACGCAGCAGTCGCTGTGCCAACACAGCAGACTCGTGAGCTCTGACATCCCCTGGCAGATCCCTGATAGGAAAACGTCTGTCGGGGCTGTGACCAGCTCTTGTGGGAAGCAGTTGAGCAAGGCAATGTGTTTTGAGTCCCATAGCCAGTGGGGGGACAGCTTGGCTGAGGTGTGGGCTCAGACAGCAAGCTCTGAGGTGGCAACCTGGTGCAGGAGGGTCAGGGCATTCCTTAAAACCACAGCCACTGCTCTGAGCCCACCTTGCAGCCTCACCTGCTGCTGCCTGGGGTGTCCCCAGCCCACTCAGACAGGACACCTGCCTGGGGAAGGTGCTCCTGCCAGGAAAATGCAAATGCACGCTAGGGAGGACACAACTTTTTGTTATGGTCTCTGCTCTAGTTCCTAAGGGAGCGTTACTGCATTTACAGCCTGTGTACAGCTAGGAGAGGGTGGGTCACAAGCCTCTGATAGCATCATAAACCTTAAGGGTGTTTTCACTATAGCGAGAACAGGAACCTCCTTTTCTGAGACTGATCATTTAACTTCAGTATTTCCCACTCTACATTTGTACTGGGCAGCGGCCATGGCTGGTCATTTTCTCAGGGCTACCTTTTTAAATTTTTAATTTTTTAATAAAATTTGAATTTTTAAAACCTTCACCACATTCCTCCCCTGCCTCTTTTTATTTATTTATTTCTCCCTACTGTTTACTCTTGTCCTTCTGAAGAGCAATTTTTCCACAGCCTGCAGTATCCTTCTCTTCAGCTGTCCTCTCTCCTTCCCTAGCTCTATTTTGGAAAAGCAGGTGGCAGAGGTGCACGTGGTGTCCAACCTCACTGCCCGTTGAATGGTGTAGTGCACTGGGACAACTTGTTCTTTGGGTTTTTTTTTTGTTTTCCAGTCCTTTCCTGATGGTTGCCAGTGCTTGACTCAAGGTTTGTTTCTTTGTGGTTATTGTTTGTTTAAGTTAATGATTTAGTGTCATAGGATTGCAGTACCTGTTGAGAAAGCCTGGCTTGGGGCAGGGAATGGGCAGCAGGGCCATGCCTGGCTTCATGTGTGAGTTAGAATCCACCACTGTGGAGGATTCTGCATTTATTTTTCTGTTTTCTTTTTTTTTTTTTCTCTTAAAGTCACGTGCAAGTCATGCACTGTGTAAGAGTTGGCTAAAACTCCTGGGGGCGGGGGGGCGGGCAGCTTTTTTCTTTTACAGGATGTGATGGTGTACTCCTAAGTTTCTGGGGGTGGGGAGGTCTAACAGGTCTTTCAGGAAGTCTCAGAATCATTAGGGTGGGAAAAGCCCTCCAAGATCATCTGGCCCAACCCTCCCCCCCCACCACTGTCACCCACTAAACCATGTCCCCAAGCACCACGTCCAACCTTGCCTTGAACACCCCCAGGGACGATGACTCGACCACCTCCCTGGGCAACCCGTCCCAGTGCCTGACTGCTCTTTCTGAGAAGAAATGTCTCCTCATTTCCACCCTGAACCTCCCCTGGCACAACTTGAGGCCATTCCCTCTACTCCTATCACTTGTTATCTGTGAGAAGAGGCCGACCCCTGAGCCTGCTCTTCTCCAGACTGAGCAACCCCAGTGCCCTCAGTCGCTCCCCATGGGACTTGTGTTCCAGGCCCCTCACCAGCTTCATAGCCCTGCTCTGGACTCACTCGAGCACCTCAATGTCCTTGCACTGAGGGGCCCAAAGGTGAACACAGCACTCGAGGTGTGGCCTCACCAGAGCAGAGTACAAGTCCCCTAAAGGTAACTAAGTCTGAAAGGAGTTAAACTCCTCTAATGCACATCTTCCAACCAGTGTGTAAGCTGACTTGGAAAAGACACTGATGAGCAGCACCCGCCTCTCCTCTAACATCCAGTTCCAGGCTGAATGCAAACTTTTGTTTCTGACATGGACCAGGCAGCCAAAATTGCCTTTTTTTCACCAGCCTGCTTAACACGGAACCCCAAATGGCAGCAAATTCAAACTATTCCTGGGAATGTTTTAAGTATCGTTAAACATCACACACCACTCCTTAGACATTAGGGCAAATTTGAACACAACTGAAACCCCAGAATATTTTGTCTCATTTTTATTTTCACTTTTATACAAAAAAAAGTCTGACATAGTCACATCAATGAGAACAAGCTGCGGTGTGTACTCTTACAACAATCATATAAGGATTTAAAATATACTGTTTTATTGTTTGCAATAGCAACGTTAGTTTGCCTTTACTTCTTAAATATCCCCAACTCCAAATTGCTGAGCTTGAAATTCTTGAAAGTCCTCTGGAATGGTGTCTGAAAAGAGGAAAATATGAAAAACTTTAGTATCTTCCAACGAAATAAAGGAACACTTAAACAAATTGATTATCCAACTACTTCTTTACATAATACGCCTTCTCTTTTGTTTACACACTCAGAATGGACTGGGACTAGTTTCAGTTTTAGCATATGCCACTGAAAAGCACAGACAGACTAGCAAGGCAGCGTGCGTGCTACCATGCCGGCCCACGCTGGAGTACCATCAATCTTCAGGTTGTATTTACTTCCACCCAAAAACTTTGTGGCTTCCACTCTTCTATTTGTATGAATAAAAGCAGACTGGAAAGGTGAAAAGGCTAACTTCAAAGGAGGCTCTAGCAAGGTGAGGAATCAGGCTCTTCTCCTAACTACCAAGTGATAAGTCAAGAGGAAGTGGCCTCAAGTTGCGCCAAGGAGGTTTAGGTTGGATATTAGGAGAAATTTCTGCACTGAAAGAGTTGTGCAGCATTGGAACAGGCTGGCCAGGGAGGTGGTGGAATCACCAACCAACCCTGGAGGTCTCCAGAAAATGTGTGGATGTGGTGCTTGGGGACATGGTTTAATGGTGGACTTGGCAGTGCTAGGTTAAAGGTAGGACCAGATGTTCTTAGAGGTCTTTTCTAAACTAAATGATTCTATAACAGAAAAAGAAAAAAAGGCATCGTGCTGTGCACCCCAGATATGTTCATGGCACCAGCTTCTCTATTTCTCGTGTATCCTACTCCAGCTTCCCTGTAATGGTGTTCCATGCCACAGGAGCAGACAGAAACATTAACCCAGGGACCAGCAGCAAATATTAGAAAAACTTCAAAATTGGTGAAAGAAGCTGGAGCTGGGTGGGTCACTGTTGTAAGAGTGACTGCAGTTCTGACTGATGCTGTGTTTGCAGTGTCCCTTTGCCAGGTGTCAGACCATCTCACCAGGAGAGCCCAGAACCAAGGGGAAAGCTAACGCAGTACCCAAGTAAGGAGTCACAGCAGTGAAGCTGAGCCACCTGATATGGTTATTTCCACCCTGACATAGAGCAGGACTCTAAACTTTAAAAAAAGGAAATAAACACAATGTTTAGGAAAAAAGTGACAAATCCTCTGTTTTTTTCAGCTGTTGGTTTGGTAACTTCTTTGTTTGAGGCTCAATTCTTTCCAATCTTTTTATGCAACTATAAGAACTTATCCAAAAAATGCAACGATGCTTGGGAACTCCAGAGGCTTCCCTGAGTGGTTTCATTGAATCACTGTGGCGCCTGCAGCAAAGCCACTGCTTGCTCACTGCCAGGAAAAGTATCTGCAACTTCAGTGGCAGCTTTGAAATGTGCTTTCTGGGAAACCACATACTGCTTGAGACTCTTATCAAGTAATCTTTAGTTGTAAGAACCACAATCTGTCTAGAGGTTCCTCTTTCACTGTCCCCCTGTTTCTGCATGCAGCAACCTAGGAGCATGGAGTGCTTGAGAACCAAGGTCCATCCCCAGCACAAGCTGCAGATCTAGGGCCTGTCTGTGCTGTGTCCAACGCAGATCCAGACTGGGCTTCTGGGATCCACAGAGAGCAAAGGAACTATGCCAGCTTGGGGGATCTCTCTCTAAGTGGACAGATAGTGCGCTCCCCAGAGCCCCAGGAGGAAGGCCATCTTAGCATCTTCTCCACCCCCAGACAGGAGCAACCAGCCCCTAACACATGCGATGCTGAGGTCTGCTGACTGATCCCAGAGAATCTCCAGATTTGCTTCACCTTGCATTTGGAGCTTAAGGCATCTTCCATATATGATGACCTCAGTATATTGTGCATGTACAACCCTCACGGTTGGTTGGTTTTAAATAACAATTTAATTCTCCGATGACAGCTGTACTACTTAGTTGGCACAATCTCTGCAGCAGTGACTGCTCTGGGAGGAGCAGTGGTGGGGTGTTAGTTCCCGTCTGGCTGGGCTGCAGTGCGTTGCTGGTGTCAGGGGAGGCGTTTCACAGCTGCGAAAAACTTGTAAATGAAAATCAAAGGAGAAGATGCAAGATGGCTTAATCCAAAAACCACACTAGCAGTTCTCTGTGGCCACTTGCTAGTTGTTAGCAAAAAAGGAGAAAAATTACCATTACAGCGGTATTTCAGGTTGGACCAGATGATGTTTTCCTGAGAGAAGCAGAAAACTCCAAGCCGTCCTCCACGCATCGTGGTGTCTATAGTGACACCAGAGTCTGCCACTAGGTCAGAGCCTTCGTAAAATCTTGCCCTTAGTGAAAGCAAACAGAATCTGTGTTAGGTCTTCTCTAAGGCTGCAGCATTTATAAAAGTAGTGTCATTTATTAGTGCCATTTGTCATTAACAATCCATGTTGATTCTAGCCTTGGACATGCCTTCCTGCCAGCAGCTAGCCTAGGGAAGAAAAAGCAGTTCAAGCTCCTTGCAGTGCTCCTTTGCAGGAACACTGCTGCTCTCAAGAAAGAGCTCAGATGGGAGAAGGTTTTGTGTTTTGGTGATTTTTTTTAAATTTATTTATTTTTTAACATAGCCAGCAAAAGTCAAAAGAACGTTTTACCCTGCCATCAGTCCTGTGTCAGTCCACAGCTGATCACTATAGCAGAAAGGGGAAATCAGGTTAGGTCAGCTGAAGAAGGCCAGATGGACTTTGTCTCATGCAGTTTAACTTTTTTTTTTTAAACAGGCAAAATTTCAAACAAACCATTTAGAATCTTAAAGCTGCTTCCCTGACTGTCAGATTTCTTTTAAAAATGTGAAAATGATTAATTCCAGGAACAGTTTTGATGATCTGGCACTTCCTTGTTACAGAAACTGTCAGCAAATTCCCAAATAACTCTGGGAATAGCTGCACCCTGCCAGATTTCCAGCACATGCCTTGTACTGGGCACACTGGAGCCAGCTGAGCTATCACTGCTGGATATACCAAGTCCACAGCCTCTGGGGTGCCGGGTAAACAACTTACTGGATGATGAGCCTGGAGGGCCCTATTTTGGATGAGGGCATCATTGTGTTAGGAGCCAGTTTAAATGCAAGAAAATAGTGGGTGGTGAAGGGAAAGAAAGTTCCTATGTCTTTCCATAAAATATGAAAAAAAAAAACAAACAATTCCTGTTATGTTCCTGAGTTTATTTTCTGATTTGCGGAGGCAGTTCCGAATTATCTGTACAATGAACAGAGCTTGTTTTCTTCCAAGCTTCCATGGGAGAGGCTGGCTCAAGTGCCTTTTTCCTAGGCTTCTTTGTAGCGTCGGAAAAGCTCTGTGAGACACATTATGGTCCGTGGCATCCAGCCTGAACAGACCACAGTGAGCTGTGGATGGAGTGCAGGCAGAGACTTGCTTTAAGCCTGACTGCATTTGGTTTGACAGATTTTGTGACACTGGCATTACCTCCTTCCTCAGCTACAGGGTCTGTTAATTAGGCTGGCTAGAGAGACTGCAACCACAGGCAGATGACTGCTTGTAAAGCAGTTTCACAAACAGCCTGGTCTAAAGGGAACCCAAAATCTATTCACTGCTGCCCAGTGGCTAGGGCACAGTGACTGACAGTACAAATGTTCTTAAATCAAACACGCTTACTCCAATTACTGCTGAAGGTGATGCTCTGCACCAGAAAAGTGGAATTATTACACCACCAAGATACTGCATCTCAGCTGCAAGGTGGTGATTTCTTGAAGAACAACTCACCTCCCTGTGTTTATTCTATTATGAGGCTGCAAAACCTGAGCTCAGGGTGATGGAGCAGTTTATTTTTTTCATTTTTTTTCATAATCAAGCTCTTCCTTCTGAATAGTGATCTGTTTTTAAATAACTTGTTTTTTCAAATAACAAAATGAGTCTGGTTAGCAGGCACTTAAGAGCATCAACAAACTTTCTGGGTACATGCTATGCAATCTCAGATCTTTCATATCGTGATAATTACTAACCATAGGATCACAGCCATTAAGTGGACAACTTTATTTCTGTTCTCACAGAATATAAAAGCGAACTGGTACAATTCCAACTGAAAGATCAAAATTAAGAAACATTGTAATGCATTGTTTTTCAGGCCAGAGGCCAACAGTACCTTGGAAAACAAAGTATTAAAGCCATTAAATGGCTTATTAGTGTGGGGCAGTTACACGTGGTACAAAACAGAGTCACAAAACAGGGTTGTCTTGCAATTGTCTTTCCTAGGAAAAGAATTGCAGGTAGAATTTCACAATTCTGACCTGTTTCAATGCTTCATAACTGCAAAGCACGGATACATTGTGGCTTCTCAGATTCCCACTTACATTAGGTGTTGAGCACAGTTTAAACAGAAATACAACCTGTAGTTACCTTAGCAATCCTTTCCTGTCTTACCTGATATATCCAATCTGGGGTCTGTGCTGCAAGAACCAGCGGTAGGAGACTTTGTCCTTCCACCCTACGTTCCGGGGGTCCTTCCACAGCAGTCTGACCTGGTCACTGGTGTCCCCCGTGTGCCAGAGGGAGTTGCGGAGGTGCTCACCAGGGCCTGTCTTTGATTTCACAGCCTGCAGAAACATAATTTTCCAGTGCTGACCACAGAGGTATGTTGTTTCCAGGAGCTCCAAGTCTTTTGTAGTGGGGAGGTCTGCAGAAGCACCCTCCCTCCCACTCACAAGCCCATAACTGCCTTCATAACTACAGCTAGTGCTTGCACAGAGTAATAAGTGAGCACTTGGGACTAAGGAGAAGCAAGCAACCTGACCAGTTACAGTCAGAGGATAATCAGAGCAGAGACTAAATGCTCCAGCTGATGAGCAGGGGCAGGACTGGCGATGGAGTTCCTTACAAAACAGCGCTGTTAGCAGGGCTGAGTGGCAGCAGTCTGACCGCAGATTTGATGCCCACAGCAGGGGGAGAACAGCGGTTGGGCAGCACTGCTGACACACAGCCCAGTGGCTTGGCCACAGCAGAGCTGCCAACACGCAGCACGAGGTCTGTCGGCTGTCAGGGTGGCACTGCCAGGCTGTGACCACCATGTCCCCAGCTAGGAGGCAGGACCGGTACCTTTAGCTGAATGCCAGGCTCTGCCACAGCTCTGAAGGGAGTCGCCTGCCAGTACGTCTGCTCCGTCTGTTTCCACATTACCACGTAAAAGCTAGAGCTGTCTTGATAGCCAAAAATAAAACCAGCGTAGTCATCGTCTGTCACTGTGTTCACGTGGAAAGTGCCCTCGAAGTCGACACCATTAAAAGCTGTGTAACCTAAGAGGACACATAGGTTAAAACCAAGCCTGCAGACAACACGTTTGCATGCCAAAAGATTTTCTGCTGTAAAGCCTGAATCTCAGAAGAGGGACACATACCAACAGCAAGGCCAGGATCACTGTTCATGGTCTGCACGATTTCCATGCCCTGTAAGATTAAATTCAGGGTGGTTAGTGTGCGTGACGAATTGGGTTGGCTAAGCCTGTCAAGCCCCTTCTGGCCTCCTGCTAGCACCCCCTCCATCCATCTCCTCCTTTGGCTCATAACATGTCTGTAACACTTGTAGCTCTGAATTAAAATGAGAGCTATAATCAAATCCTAATGTTTCAGCTGCTTGTGCGCACAGAGGCAGGAAGGATTTTTCTCTTCCCACTGCAGGACTGAATTTACTGGTATTCTGGTACTTTCCCTCCCTCTCCCAATTCTCCTGAAATCACCAAACCTGGGCAGAATTGGAGATGGGACTGAAAAAAACAAATGAGGGAAGAGGGCTTTTGCAAAGCTTAGCTCACAGAATTTGACAACAGACTTTAAGACTAAACTGACTGCCAGGACTGCCCTAAGGAAGGCTTATGTATTTCAGCTCCACTTGGCAGTGGGAGTCAAATGTGCATTCCTTGCAACTCTGAACACATTCACCTCCTGAAGACTAAAATGTGTCAGTGTAAATAACATTTACTGGACTCTATCTAGGAGTAAATGCTCTGCTATATGGCAGCTCAGACTTTCAAACAATAGAAAGGACTCATGAGACTTCGTTATTTCATCAGGATGACACAACAGTCTCATGTTTGCCATCTTGGCAGCAGTGAAATCCACCCAGCACAAGTCAACCAGCTTGTAGTTATTTTAGTTCATTAGCAGCTTCAAGCTTCAAGCTGTCACGCACTGAAGGAAAAGTTGTTTCACTGTAACACCTGTAAAACAGTCAGCCAACAAGCAATTTCCATTTCTCACTTGTTTGTGAGAGGTCCAGCAATTATAGAGACAGTTTTACTGTGCCTTTCAGATGATCTTTCTCAGCCAGGTGACAAAGACCAGAGAGATGTATTTTTACCTGGTTCAGAACCACCCAGTTGGGATCAATCTGCGCATCTCCCTCCGGGTCCAGCACTACTGTCTGGTAGGCTCTAAAGTCTGTCAAGGTGATCTCCGCGTTCTCAGGGCAGACGTCGATCCGATCAATTACTGTATCCTGGTCAAAATCAGACTCGCAGATATCCCCAACTCCATCACCTGTATGCAGCAGAGAAGCGAGAGCAGATTCATGGTGTAGCAGGAATCCACACCTGGCCTAGTCACTGCACCAGGGTGTCCAAGGAGCAGGTGAATGGAGTCTCAGCCCTGATGACCAAAAAAAATCCCTGGGGATGGGACCCAAGGAGCTCTGTCTTGGCCAAAGGCACAGTCCTGGGACACAGTGCTGTGCAGGGAGTGTATGCACACGTGGTGACTGGGGCAGGTTAGGTGTGTGTGTTGGGGAAAAACATGGTACTATAAGCACCAAATCAGCTACTGAAAGCCCAGCTTACCATTGTCATCTTCCTGCCCTGGGTTGGGGACCAGCCTGCAGTTGTCAGGGCCAGGGGGCAGGAGGTCAGGAATGCCATCGTTATCATCATCCTCATCACACTCGTCACCCAGCCCATCCTTATCGGTGTCCAGCTGGGAGCTGTTAATGATGGTGGGGCAGTTGTCTGTGCTGTCCTGGTGCCCGTCACCATCGCTGCAAGCACGGAGACAAAGAGAAACAAACAGCACACTGGCATCAGCTCCTGCCTCTGCACGGGGGAGAGCACCTGTATCTGAAGGGGACCTGCACCAGGGGCCCCCCTGGAGCTGGCAAACAGAGAAGGAGGACGTTGTGACCTGGTGTCACTTAGGCAGCTGAACAGCAAAGAGACAAGGAACAATCAGGCCATACAGTAAGGTGGCAGAGGAAGAAGGCTACCCAGATGAGGAAAACAGAAGAAAGCCTTACAGGGAGTGGGAAAAGATTCCACAGCCAGGATCCCAAATGACACGTGCTCCTAACAAGCACCTAAAGCACACCCAACAAGTGCCGTGTCACCAACCAAAAGGCACCCAGGAGACACAGTAAGAGGTCAACAGTCGGCATCTCTGCCCATAACATCCACAAGTGTCTCGGTGCTCATGAATGCGTGAGTGTGAGTGAAATCTGTGAAAGAATCTGTGTGAGCACCAGAAATCAGACTTTTTTTTTTTTTTTTTTTTTTTTAAAAAAGCACCACTTTCAACCTCCTGCATACCACATCTTGTTATGTTACTTTCCCATGGGTAGCTGAGCAGTAAGGAGTCTGCAGCTCCCAAGCACAACAAAAAACATCAGGTGGTTACATGAAGAGTCACCAGTACCAGAGACACAAAGTATAGGAAAGGGTTATGGAATGGCTGCCTTGTTTTTCCATTTAAAAGGCTAAGTACATCTTAACCACTGGGACAAAGAAAAAAAGAGGGCTTGAGGGGCTTGTACTTCTTGTTTCCAACAGATTTTTTTTTTTTTTTTAGCCCAAGAGCTAAATGCAGCTGTTGTATTTCTAGGATTCTGGGCACACTTTTATGATGAGATTTTATTCCCCAGGGGAGGTGCAGGGACACTTCAGACATGTGCCCAGAGATTAGGATAAAAGCCACAGCAATGGCCTGAAGTCAGGTGTGTTTTGCACACACACCACAAACAAAATGTTTTCTGGCAAGGTGGACATATTTCCCCTCCGCAGCCTTTTGTTTAGCATAGGCAGAGCAAAAGAGGCTGCGTTGCAGTTTACAGCTATGCATATTCCCACCTGTCCCACCCTGCTTAAGAAAGGTGCTTTAATTTTAGATCAGAGCAACTAATGCCTACAAGTCCTTAAGTGGAAATACAGTGAGGACCATGCACATCTGTCTGTTGAGAGGTTAACCTCAGGCAGGACAACAGTATGTTCTACCAGGAGATTCTTCCTGCAGATTAGTTAGGTTTGAGGAAAAAAATACATGTTCCTTTTTGAAAACAGGAAAAAAAACAACAAGGCCATACTTAAGAGTGAAACAGCTCCCAAACACTGGGGGCCTCATCAGCTAGTGGTTCAAAACTCTCAGAAGTGCTCCCAGCAGAAGTGGGGAAGTAGACTCCTGAACTCATAGCAGCCACCAAGAGCCACAAGGTCAGACCTTGCAGCTTGGTTGCGTCAGCACAGGATTTATCACTTCCCTTTCCCCTCGCTTCAAGTGAGGAGCATGGGGGAGGACTTGATGCCCTCAAAGGTGGTTGTGCAGAACCTGCTTCCAGAGAGGTGTCATGCAGTTTCTTGTAGGACATGCTCCCCTGAACAGTCGGGGCATGTGAAGGCAATAGAGCAGCCTTGCCACTCTTGCTGTGTCTAAAGCAAAGTGGTATATTTGGAAATGTTTTGTGCATGCTAATAAAGTTCTGAAACACTGTGTTCTTATGGAAAACCACATACCCCTTAACTGTGAAATTTCTGCTAAAGCAGAGAGAGGAATGCTAAACTGTTTCTTGTTTCTGCTAAAAAAGAGAGGAATGAAAAAGGAAGACAATTAAAAAAAAAAGAGAGCATGTTCCCTCACTACAAAGCTCTGCAAGGTGCTCATAGTGTGATTCCTGACACTGCTATTAGTGTCATTTCCACAGAAATTCATAGGAAGTGTGTGTGAACATGGGGCTGGAGTGAAGGGCTCCATTACCATACTGCTACAGGGAAGTGAACCAACAAGGCTTATAAATCACAACGTTGTTTTTGAAATGACCCCCTTGAGGAGGTATTAAAATCAAATGCTGCCTAATATGAGGGATAACAATTCTCCAAGAACCAGTAGAATGCTTCAGCTCACAATAGCCTGTTCTCTTCCCTGCTGCTGTCATAAGCTATAACACACTGTACCTGTCCTGATTGGTATCACACGAATCTCCAACCAGGTCATTGTCGATATCAGACTGCAAAAGAAAAGAGAGGAAATTCCAGTATCAGCTGCTGAGAGCATCTATTAAAAAGGCAGTATTATCTAAACATAAACAATTAAAAATAAAAGCACGGAAAAATCTTTGTTTTGTAAAACCTATTTTCTTCTTTGCATCATTCATTTAACCAAAAAGTCAGTTTTATTAAAGAAAAACACATACAATGAATAGGCAGAGTTAAACTAGACTGGAGTAGTTCAGGATGAGCAGTTCAAACAAGATTCCTCAACAACTGGAATTAAGTACCCCTTATGTCTAACTGAGGTTCATCTCTTACGTGGCTTCAAAAATCTACCATGTTTCTTTAAAGCTTCCAGCATTTAGTAGTTTCAAATGGTTTAATCAGAATTTAAAACAAATCAAAAGTCTAATTGACTTCTCACCCACAAGCAGTGAAAATTTTACGAATTAATGACATCTAAATTTGGTCCTAATTAAAGAAATACTGAATGTAACCATATCATGCCACTGTGTGGTGTGTGGCATTGCACTTCATGGGACTGGAGCAGGCCTACGTTTTACAGTCTGACAGCTGAAGATACTAGTAGGGGAGAGATGTTAACAACATCCCAGGATATTAGAATACACATTGTGGCTCCTATTTTCAATGACAGAAGCAGATCAATCTCCACAAAACATCCTGAATACCTACTGATAAAAAATAAACACTGGCCGCCTCATTCTCTTGCATCTTTTTGGATCTAAACAGTCCCTTCCCTTAAATAAGGACTTTTTTTTTTTTTTTTCTGCCTGCTAACCTGGTTTGGGTTGCTGACTGTAGGGCAGCTGTCACAGGCATCACCAACACCGTCATTATCCTTGTCCTCCTGGTCTTGGTTGGGAATCCTCTGACAATTATCCAAAAGGTTCTTAATACCTAACAGAAGGTGGATAGGATGTTAGTTAAAAGCAATTTATGGACAAGGTAAACATGAAGGATAGTAAAAACACTATTCCTTTCCAGCAACTGTTTAATCTTGCAATGAAATAATAAATCTGCACAGCAAATCTTTCTTAGAAGTATATCCGCTCATTTAATAGATGTTAGAAACATCTTGCTGAGGAACAGCTTATAACCCAATCACACATACTTCATTAGTTACACACACTTCTTGTTCCCCACGTCATATTACAGGATGGAACATTTTATCTTTGTTATTACATCTGAAGGGCTTTGACTTTTTCCAATTCTTTGAAGCCTCTTACAGCAACGGAAATAATACATTTTGTAGCTCCTGAGCATCTGAGACAGGCAGAGCTGGATACTCTGGGACATGTTCGCATCTTTAAGGAGTTACCGAATGACCAATGACCTTAACTTATACATGAAACAAAGCTCAATTTATCTGTTATAAAGCATTCGGTGCTTCAGATGGAGACTAAAAGATATAAATTAATCTAAAAAACAACAACAACAACAACAAAAAACAACAACAACAACAAAAAAACAAACAACTTCCAAACAGAGGTTTAATGAAGAAAGACAACATGTTACATTACACTTAGCAGCTGTTAGCAGGAAGTTTCTAATGCACAGCATTTTCTGGGTCAATTTCAAGAACATCAGAGAAGCTGTAAGTGAAGAATTACCAACCATCGCCATCCATGTCATCATCACAAGCATCTCCTTTCCCATCACCATCTGTGTCCCTCTGGTCATTATTCAGGACATTGCGGCAGTTGTCACAAGCATCTCCAAAGATATCTTGGTCACTATTTCTCTGGTTAACATTGGGAGTCAAGACACAGTTATCCTGCAAGACATAGATCCAAATTAGGAATGAACCATACCCTGAATCTTTCATTTCTACTTTAGTGGATTTATATAACCCTTGCATTTATTTCTGTTTTCATGAGAAATGTTTACTGTGGGCAGTTGGATATTTTATGTGAACATCAGCTCCAGACTAGATTTCACTGGCTCCCCCTCAAAGTTTTACTTTGAGCCACACCATGGAAACACTAAACATGAACACTGAGTACCATAAGGCTTTTATTTATAACTTTGACTTCTGATTCTCATTTTGGATGGGTTCACATGAGTAACCTGTTTTGATGCCCTGTCTTCCTTACATGGACCTTCTGAAAAGCTGCTGTTCAGAGATCTAGATAGGGCTCGTAGATGCTCTCAGTGAAAGATGGTTGCCCCCTTCTGGTAGAGACTCAAACAAAAGGAAAACACTTGGAAAAATAGGATTTTTGATGCAAAAAAATGTACAAGTCTTACTCTTTTGTCATACAAGCTGCTATTGACTTTATCTTCCCCTCAGAAGGCATACAGGGAAAACTGAAATTCAAAGAAGTGTAAACAGTCTCTCACATCTAGCACACCCATGACCTCACACATGTGGAGCAAGAGGCAAAACAGAGCTTATCAACAGTATGGAAGTTACCTGATTGTGAAAAGGCTGAATCTGCATAGGGATTTACAGTTGAAGGAGGATTTAATATCATTCCTTCCAGAACATTAAGAAAATGAAGTTCCTCAAACTACCAGAATTGAGGGTTGGTCTCTGTGGCAAAACAGACTGTGATTGCCTTCTACGATTGCTAGTTTGCCCTAGCTCCACATGGACATGTGTACTCTGGACAGGGCATCCTTGCTGTCTTCCTTGCAAGTGCATGAAGAAATACCACACAAGGGTCTTTGTGTAGAATACCACACATGTGAGAATATGGGGTGAATGGAAAAGAGCTTTTACAACATGAATTTACACTCCGGTGTATTCTGCAGCAGAATCCCCACATGGAAACCTCTTTCTCTTTCAGAACATGATCCAAAGCTTTTTCAAGTTATTGGCAAGACACCCATTAATTGGGGGGAGGGGGCAGGGGGGTTGGATCCCTCATGAAATGTGGGGGGGGAGATACAGGGGGGTTGGATCCCTCATGAAATGTTATGTCAGGCCAAACTGCTCTTTAAAATGAAAGACACTATGTTGCTAGAGGCCATGTTATGGGAGAGTGTGAAAGGAGACAAGTTCTGTATAAAAAAAAGATGTAAAATTCAATGCTAAAATATAACATAGTATAAATTGGTGGGACTTAAGGATAGGTGAGGTAGCCCTAGTTTTTTTGGTATATTCTTTTTTAGGTCTAATAAAAGGGACCTTTATATAAAGAAAAAAGTAGGATTTAGAGAGCTGCTGACAGTGTTGTGTATGAGATAATCTTCAGTAAATAGTAGCAAGCAGATTTCAAAATCACTGCCTACTGCAGTAGTGTGAGATTCTTCTGTTTGCGCAGACTCCTTTACCCTGTCCTATGCACAGCACCTGGTCATTGGGAATGCCATCTCCATCTGCATCTTCATCACAGGCATCTCCAACCCCATCACCATCAGCATCTTCCTGCCCAGAGTTCGGGACAAATTTGCAGTTGTCCTAGACAAAAAGTGAGATATGTCTGGTGTTCTATGGGTTAAAGTCACTAAAAATATAAAATTATCAGCTTTTCTACTATTGTTTTAATTAAACTTATCCACAGGAATACAGTAACTTGAAAAAGGATCTAGTCATGTTTCTCAGCCCCCTTCATGCTCTGAATTATTATAGGAATTATTATAGAATTAAGAAAGAATTGCTTACCTTTCTGCAGCTTTCAGCAGGGCAAGGGAGCTCTTCGTTTGGGTAGCCATCAATGTCAACATCTTTTCCACAAATATAACCATCACCAGCCCAGCCAATGCCACACTATCAATAAAACACCATGGTAGTACTACCAAAAGGTTAACGAGTCACGTCAGAAATATTTAAGAGGGAAATTTGGCATCAGTCTTGAAAATGCTGACATGCAGAAGGCACAGTCACTGCAGTATAATGAAGTACACCTCAGCAACTCTCAATGTGAACAGAAAATCCTTAGTTCAAGCTCTCTGTATCTACAAACAGCCAGAATAAGCTAAGGCTTTATTTTAAATGGACTCTACCTGCAACACCTAATGATTTCAGTTGGAGCCATAGGTTTATTTCAGATACCTGACAGGAGTCAGTTCTGATTCTTCATCTGTGGATGGAGAAAAGACAGAAAAGCAGGACCTAGGCAGAATGTGCATACAGCATCTCAGCAAGGGACCCATGGTTAGGTGGGTGCTTTATTCAGTATCTCAAGAATAAATCTGCAACTAGAGGAAATTTTAGAAGAAAACTGTTCTGACAGTTACTCATTTTGCATCGCCAAAGCAAGTACATCTTGACACAAGTTTCTCCAAGCCAGTGAAATTGGTATTGTTTCAAAACAATCCCTAATTTGTAACTGAACACACATGCAGAGAATTTCATATTAAACGCTGGCCTCTCCTTAAAACAAAGACTTGCCTAACACAAGTAACATCTTTCCATTACAGCATGAACCTAAAATATCCTCATTTCTTCATCTTTGAAATAGATGTACTTAAAAAGGAGACCAAAGCAAGTTCCAGCAAAAGCATGTACTGTACCCAAATTTAGGACAAAGGACTAGTTTCTTGCTTCCCCTTGCAACATGGAAAAAAATATGTAATATACTTATATAATATATAATACATAATATACTTCAGTTAAACTCCTACAATAAAAGTTCGTATGCCATTTAGCGTTCTTCTGTTCCCAGGGCTGGAAAGCACAGTACAACCTACCTGTGCCTAGGATCTGTAGTCATGTTTGGAAAATTGCCAAATTTTGTCAGCAGACAAATACGGGCACTGTGCTTATGCAGACAGGATCCCTAATTACTGCTACACAGCTAAAAAGCCTGCATGCAGAAGAGCACCAGCAGAGGAATTTGCCCTTGTGCTGTCTTTTTACAGTGACGCTTGATAGTCCTTTTGAAGGAGACTGTAGGAAGTCTATAAAAGCCATTCCCCCAAAAATCTGATCATGCAAACACTAGCAGCGCACACAGTAAATATGGCACATAAGTATGGCTGCCTTATAGATGTGCTGCAAGGAGAAAAAAATTGCCAGACAGATTCAGTTCAGTTATTTTCATAACTGGTCTGGGCCATTGTGTTGCAGTTTGGTTGAAAACCCAACAATAGTGATAAAATGGCCACAAAGACTAGCTCAGTTCCAGGCTAAAAGAGGCTGTTTTGCACTGTACAAATGCATGAACTTATGAACTCACAATGCATGTCACTTCCCCTCTCCGTTCCTCAATGCACCGGGCATGGACACTGCATGGATTGAGGGCTCGACTTCTGCAGCTTCTCTCAGCCTGGCATCCCCTGACTTGGTCTCCTGTGTATCCTGATTTGCACTGGCCACAGTGATAAGAACCCTGTAAGAACAAAAAGTTATTAATCATGCTTTTAACAGGACTTTATTTTTTTTTTCAAAAAGCAAGTTTGTGAGCAAGACTCATGTCATATGGCTTATGCTGTGCAAGTGTAGTTTTTCATACCCTGATTCTTTTTCCACTGTGAACAAGCTTTCTTTCCACACAAAATCCATGTTTGCTGTAAAACATGCTCAACTGCTGAGACCATTTTTTTGTTCCATCTGAGCTACTTCCAAATAGTCAAAACTTTGTGTCAAATTCTAAGCAGCATCTGATTATTCAGATTGGATGCTCTTATTTCAGTGTAAAGCTGACCTGACTACTTATCTAAACTGAACTGGGAACAACAAAGAGTGACAAGAAGTTCATCTTTGTCTTTGCTCCATTATTTTTTTTCAAACTTGAATGTTTTCAAGCCAATCTGAGCTAAATCTTATTTTTTAGAAAGGAAATCATGACTCGAAGACAGTCATCTCCGTTTACACTGCAGTAAGAACATACATGCAACCTTTTGCAGTGATTTACCTAGAAACATATATGTATTTTTGAGTTATATTTGTGCAACTCTCTTATATAAACAAATGCAAAAAGAGCTAAGGCATGGAATTTCAGTTTGTGTTGGGACAATCACTAAAAAAGATATAAACAGATAAATGCTGATAAGAAGAGACTTTCTTCAAGCACTGAATATAGCTTTTGTCTCACATAAAAGTTAACTGAAAATAACCTTTCTTCCTTATAGAGAATTTGCATGCCACAATATGAGAAGGACATAAAATTATTAAAGTGTCCAAAGGAGGGCTACAAAGGCGTTGAAGGGTCTAGAGGGAAAGATGTCTGAGGAGCAGATGAGGCCCCTTGGTTTGTTCAGCCCAGAGCAGAGCAGGCTGAGGGGAGGCCTCATGGCGGCCTGCAGCTCCCTCACGAGGGGAGCGGAGGGGCAGGCGCTGAGCTCTGCTCTCTGGGGACAGTGACAGGACCTGAGGGAACGGCATGGAGCTGGGACAGGGGAGGGTCAGGCTGGGGGTTAGGGAAAGGGTCTGCACCCAGAGGGTGGTGGGGCACTGGGACAGGCTCCACAGGGCAGTGGGCACAGCATCGAGCCTGATGGAGTTCAGGAAGCGTTTGGACAATTCTCTCAGACATCTGGCTTGACTTTTGAGTGGTCCTGTGTGGAGGAGTTGAACTTGATGATCCTTGTGGACCCCTTCCAACTTGGAATATTCTACGATTCTATCAATAATTATTTTTGATATGTCAAAGAACAGGAGTAAACAGTCCTCTGACAAACTTGTCTACCCACCTCTTTCTGAAACAGGTGCTTCAGATGACTTCACCCATACACAGCGTGCTGCATGAACTCTCAGCACTGCCCCAGTCCAGCATGACAGAGAGATAACTTCACTACTCAACTGGGCATTATTTATTTATTTTCCTGTGTTCCTAGCTAACTTCAGTGCAATCTTTAACTTTATGCCATTTTCATAACTTTCAGACTAAAAGACTTACAGATTAATGAGCAGTACCGTGATCCCCATGCAGATGGTATGGCCTTTGCAAAACTCAGCAGTATGTGCACTTCCTCCTAATGGACACCAGGGTAGTATCCTCAGGAGCCTGCTAAATTTACTCAGTATATTCTGTTCTATATCAAGCTCTGGTATGCACTAAACCAGACTTTGAGGCAGCATTTCTAGACCAAACTCTTTCTAAAGGAAGACAGGAGCAAAAAAACCCACGCTGCTCTGTTTGACAGCTGGCAGACCTCTTGTCGCCCTCTGCAAACGAGGCCTGACAGCCGCCAGAAGAGGGCTAGTCATGCAGTAAGATACAACCTGAGTGAGAAGCACTGCAGATACCCGAATACATACATATACAGAGAGAAACATACTGAATAGTGAAAACTGAACAATGAACCTAGAAAGACAAGGTTATTTGGAAGGAAAACACATCACTGGGAACACTGCTGGTAGCCTCTGCAACACCCAGCTAAAAAAAAAAAAAGGAGCACCCTTACACCTGTAGGTTATTTTAACCCCTCTCTTATTATGAGCAAAGTCTGCTCTATACAGCCAGCGGTAGCAGAAGAACATTTGACCCTGCCATAAGTTCAACGAATGCTTATTTGTGTCCAAATTGCTTCAGAGCCTTAAATTGGTTGTGTAACCACTCTACTGGATCCTAACATCTTTCAAACCATTTCTACTCATGCTATGCTTGCTTTGCTGGATTTAATACTTATAGGTATTAAATGTGTTATATGAATTGCAGCTCTCCTCTCCTTCTCTCCATGCTTATATAAATGGATAACAAATACAACAAAAAATATCCTAATGAAGTGGAGACTTTCTATAAAAAGAGCATTCAGAGGAACAGCTTGCTGCAGCAGTTGCTAGATGGGAAGAGATGAGGGGAAGCAAAGATTCAGTATTTGAAAGGAGTTTCCTTGCCATAACAGATTCATAAACACGTAATTGGAGGATGTGGAAAGAAAAGTTACTGCCATTCCTCATTGAAAAGGATATGGACACAACTCAGGTAGACATATTAATGCCAAATCAAGTATTGATTATTTCATTATTAGTCACGGAAATGGGAAGGGATTCTTTAGTTTTGATTAAGCCAACAAATAGATTATATTATTCAGCTCTTGAATCAGAGCCAAGAATCCCATTCTAGCTTCAATGAATTTTAAAACAATCTCTTTTTTTAGTAGTCACAAATGAAAAATTACTTACCAAAGTGTTAATACAATGGGAATTTGGAACACAGAGTCCATGCCCGCCATTCTGACATTCATCAATATCTAAGCAGATCTAGCAACAAAACAAAACAACATATAGCAAAAACTACGTCAGCTTGAGATCTAAATCTGAAGATAAGCCACCAAAATTCATCTACACTCAGAATGTCAGAGACATACCCCACAGGTTCAGTTTTTGGATGGATCTCCAGACACATACCAACCCCGAAGAGACACCATACAATACAGGAAACTTCAGCCTTAGGATGGGATTCTGGTTCAACCATAAGAATTTAGATAAGAACTATGACCCCCTTGTAGGGCACTACAGGAATTTTAAAAACAAACAAACAAAAAAAAAAAAACAGCAAAACAGGGCTTCCTATCACCACTCTTCCTAGTTCAGAATAAGTTTACAAAGCTCAACAGAGTTTCTGTTTAAAATTGATTAGATACCTACAAAAATAATGACTTTTTTTCATGCCTCCACAACAGTCCTGATTATCGGACTGTTAATACTCACATCAAAGACAAACAAACATAACCTAAGATCTTCTAACTGAAACGCTCCAAGCTCTGTCTAACTATGCAAGGTAACCATGGAATGACTAAAATGTAAATGAAATGTGATACTGGTTTAAACCGGCACCTTGCAATGGAGGTTCCTGCAGAGATGCTGCCACTCACCTGCTTATTGCTCTTGGCATAGCTGAGTCCCACGCCTTGCACAGTTTGTCCTGTATATCCTGGGGGACAGGTCTCACACCGGAAACCTGGAACAGTGTTCACACAACGCACTCCAGGGAAGCAAGGGCTGTAACGGCACTGCAAAGAGGAAAAAAAATTAAAAAAAATCAACCAAGCACTGGTTTGCACTTCAGTAACATCCAGACCGACTATGTGCATAGACCTCTCAGTCAGCCTGCCTAGGCAATGCTAAATGCAAGTGTCTTCTGTTCACAACTGGCTTGCAGAGAAAAGTTTCAGGTATGTCTGACCCCAGTAGGTCTTCAGCTATCCCCATAATTTAAATTACAATATTCCATTTTTGCCTGCAGTTGACGCCCTAAGTTCTGATCCTCATCCTTCCTTTTGTTGGACAGGTTCAGCTCCCTTGGAGGATGAGAATCTCCCTAGAAGGGCCCAGACCACATTATCTGGAAAGCAGCAAGGCTGCAACCCAGAAAAGGTCCTGCAGTTGTGTTCTGTACACACTGAAGCAGCAGCAGTGTTTTCCCTTGTATGTATGTGGGCAAATTTCAGAAGTAATTTAGTCAGGAATAAACCACATGTGAGCCAGATGAACAGGGATGTGTCAGTAGCACGCACACATTTCTAGACCAGAGGCCCACTGGCAACCCTCAGCACTTCTCCCAACATACCACATACCCACAGCATTACCCTTGGACTGAAGACATTACTCAGTTCGTTACCTCATGTGGTATCACAGAATGGTTGTGACCCCATTTCCGTGGCCTTGTGGGTGCCAGCTCAGGAACTGCAGCCTGTATTGCTGCCTCTCAAGTATCATCACTAGCCAGTAGGTATTATTTGTAAGAGTACTAGAAACATCAGCATGTCATCATGCTGCTTATGGCTTAGAGACAACAGTATATAAAAACATGAGAAAGAAATAAAAGTTTTTAAAATATGCCTTTTCTACTCCCATCAGTAACAGAAAAAAAACACATCTATAATATGAGGGGGATACAAGCCAAAGAAATCCAAGCATTTTGGACAGAAAGATCTCATAGAAGTGTGTCTGCAATTAGCATAAGGAAAATGTTAGACCCAGGACAGACATTTTGTCCCTATTAGAGAATTATTTAATGTGGATTTTTTATTGTAGCCAGGAGAGGGCACTCAAATTACATCAGAGCACGGCTGCAGCTCACAAAACACAACATATGAAAGTAATTTCTTCAAGATGGCAATGAGTAAGAGGGGCGCTTATTGCAGAGATGTTAACAGCCTCTGGAAGAATGACGGCAGCTCTTAGAAAAATCTAGAAGCTTCCCACTTTCTCAGATTTGCATGTGAACTCCTTTTTAAATGCCTTTTTTTTTTTTTTTTTTTTTTTTTTGGAAGTACAGAAATAGTTCTATCAGGAGAAAGGTGTTATCCTAGAAGAGATTCCTAAATCACTTTCAAAAATGTATGATTATCCTTACAGTTTCAGCTAACTCAAACCCTTTATTACACAAAATAAGGCTATTATCACTTATCTCTTTCCTCCCTCTGCTTACATAAGCAAAAATCCACCTGCTACAGGAGGTATGTTCTGATGAACAAAATGTACTAGACTGGTTGGCATTTTAGTAGAAGTGTCCTCATGTATGCAAGACTGTATCTCTATGACATCATTTTGGAAAAATTTCCTTACTCTTTCTAATAATAGATCTACTCTACCTTGTGGGGTAGTGGCTTGAACTTTAACATAAGTAAACCTCCAGTGGGAGATCCTAATCACTCAGGGAAAACTAATCTCAAGGTTGGGACACTTCACATCAGTCTTGTGTTTCTTTTTTTCCCTACCACAGCTATTATGGGCAGAAATGCTCTAACACTGAAAATAGCAGGGAGGAGTTCTGCCTCAGTTTGAATATGGATCAGTAGGTAGACCCCTTTCATACTTATGGGCTCTATCTCAGCTGGCCTGAGTTTTCCACGATGGTTTCCTGGCATGGAACCCATGCCACAGCTGCCTCAGCTCTTCACCTCTTGCATTCACATTTCAGTTTCCAAATTTCCTTTTTATTTTTTTTTTTTTGCACCTTCTGTTGCAGCAGACACAGTTCATACCATGTGAGGTAAAATAAAAGACATCGCCTACAACTCAGGAAACTGCCACACTCAACCCACTTTCTCCCCAGTGTTTTTCACAGACGTAAGTTGGGCATAAAGCAGCCTCTCTGCTGCTGGCCTACAGGAAGGAACAAACCCAACAAGCAGTCAAAGCACATCTCTTGTTAGCTAGGAGAGAGAAAAAAGGAATTGCTGTTGCTCTTTGCCATCATTGGGTAGGTACATAGTACAGACACAATTAATGACCTAGTTCCCTAGCCTAATACATCCAGACATTTTTCCACAAGAAAAAAAAAAGAAAAAACAACAGTCAAGGGTAATGGCAAAAATCATCACTCAGAAAAAAACATGGTGAAGTTGTAAATGGTTTGTTGTTTGTGTTAAGTATACTGAGTAAGTGACATGTTTCATTGAACACAGTTTTTATTTAATCATTTAAGATGTTGTAAATCTATTAACTCAGTCCTCAATACAAGCAAGCTCTGAACTGCTAACACATCATAGGAAAAAAAAATAAATTTAAGTCAACCTTATCAGATTTCATCACATCCATAAAGAAGTAAAACAATAAGTGTTTATTTGCTGTCATAGATATTTAAGGTTAGGCTGAAAAAGCTGCTCCAGTTAGGGGTGACTTTCGTCTCCTAGGCCAACTCAGGATCACTACAGTTTAAAAGATTCAAAGCCCACATCAACAAGAAGTACTTCTGCAGCTCTGCATATGACAGAAGTTACTGGATCTTCTTGTGGAATAGAAAAAATTATGTCAAAAGTGCCTTTTTAAAGCAAAACCAAAAACATTGAATTCCTTTAAGTAATTTTTCAACCCACCAGGGTATTTCAAGTTTTCACATGTATAACCTCCATAAAATTGCAGCAACAGCAAAATAGGGAGGTAGAATCAAATCAGAATGAATTAATATGCACACTGTGCATGCAGTCAGCAAATGCTACAAACAGCAAGCATCAGCAACCCATTGCTATATATGAGACAGTTGCTTTTTATTTTTATAATTCAGTGAAAGTCACTATTTTACCTCATCAATATCTGAACATGTCACTCCATTCCCTGTGAGCCCTTCAGGGCAGGGGCCACACTGAAATCCCTCAGCTGTCTCCATGCACCTGACTCCCCTGAAGCAGGAACTTGGTTCACATTTGGGTTTGCTGCGCCTAGGGATTGGAGTTGGAAAATTCACAGTTCCCAAACCTTTAAAGCAAAAAGAAGAGCAGTTTTAGTAATTGATAGAAACATCCATCATGGCTTTTGGCTGGCAAGAACTCTGAAGAGATCCCCAGGATGCTGCTCAGCAGGAACTTCGTGTTTTTGCACTGCATTGCTACCAGCTGTGCTGTGGCTGAAGAGACTTCATGCTGGCAACAGCCCAGCAGGTTGCTGTGTCCCCAGATGGTGAAAATTAAGGCAGTTTTGTTATGTTCCTGTGTTGTTCCTGGCTACACGTGGGGGCCCTCCTTCTAGGTTAGTCCTAGTACAGATCTGCTGCTGGCCAGGGTAGGAAATTGAAAGCCAGCGACTTCATATGGCTAGAAGGATGCCCAAAGGACTAAAGTTATACAGTATTTCTGCAGCTAAATCAACAACACCACAACTTTATAAGAAAAATGGTGCCATGGTTTTGCAAAAACATATTTAACGATATACAAATAAGGGAAATAAAGAAGCAGCAGCTGGCAAACCACGGATGCACAGCTAGACATGTAGGCTAAGACACACAGAGACCAGCACTGGGCTAAAGCAAGATTTTCCAAGAGTGGCTGGTGCTGAATCCTGGTACTAATGCAGGGGCTGCATCTTGCAGTTGTAAAAGATTTTAAGACTTTTTCTTTGGCATTTGCACATGAAATGCTGGAGCCCAGCAGCATTTGGGGAATTTTGATTATCCTGCAAGAAGCAAGCAGCTAAGAGACTTGATGAGTTTAAGGCCCTTCACTCCATCCAGTGAGGAAGTATTTTCTCTTTTTGCATTGAGTGCATGCATGTCCTACAGTTGTGTAGGAGTGCCATGCTGTAGTATTTGGAAATTTACTTCTTCCATTTAGTGAAAAGATGGAAACTTTCCTTTGGATCTTACTGCTGTTAACCAACAACAACATACTTAGATCCAGATTAGTTTCAGGTAGACTACCCAGAAACTGCCTCATCAGACTGACATACACCAGCTTCCACATAGCATTTCTGATTCCTCAGCTTCTACTAAGATTGTTCATGAGACAATTGGCTGGCAATGTCTCTGTCTCCAGGAACTTGTGGCACACCTTTGTGGCAGAGTGAGAACTGACAGTAGAGTGTGAGTTGTCACTGCTTTATTTACAGGGTTGTTATACCCCATTAAGTGACTGGAAACTATGGAATAGTTGGAATATGGAATCTATGGAAACTAAAAGCTTTTTCTCTAATGACAATCTGTTCTAAATCTGTGACCAACGTATCTGGAATTCTGAACACAAGATTTTCTAAACATACTTGTTAGAAACCAAACAAAACTGATACAATCAATATTGTCTTTTAAATGACCATACATCTCATCTGGTTGCCTTCTACAAGCAGCTCAGGAATACTCACCACATGCCTGGCACTCAGCTAGGGTATTTCTCAAAAAAGTCGTTTCTTTGACCTTGAGAATATAGAAAATAAAAATTAATTGGATGCAGTCAGCTCCAGTTTGCCAGAAGAACTGTTATGATTTTTCCCAAGGTGCCACTCAGATTGTGCAACACATGTTCCCTATCTTGAAATGAGATGCTCTCTGTATTTCATACAGCTAAGAACAGTGATAATGGTTGTACTTCACTTCATCCTTCATCAATAGGATCTTTAAGAATGCCATGTTTAACACCAGCCATGCAAATCCAGTACTAAGACCAAGCAGCAACTGGAATAAATTTAAGTTCAGTTCTGTGCAACAGGCCTGTACCAGAAACTATCTGGTTATTTTTCCTCCACCGTGTCAAACACCTGAGGCAACGAACAAAATCTTGCTGCTTACCTGGATTCTCCACTGACCCTACTGAAGTCGCAAGCATAGGAGATTTCACACTGAAGTCTTTATACAGTACCTGTTGTCTCAGAAGGTCTTTCACATCACCCAGTATCTGGTTCATCTGCATCATCTGGCTCATTAGCTGCCTATTAAAATCTCCTGTAGGGAAACAGCAATGAAAAAGAGTGCACAATGCACATAACTCCTTCATTTGTCATGATTGTTTCTGAAAAACAAGATGGAAGCACCTTGAAAAGCCAAGGAGGCCAGTTGCTTGAGTGCTGTGGCTATACTTAGAGGAAATGTAGTATCTAGCTCCAATTTTTACAGAGGGATTTGAATGAAATCAACACTTTTCTGGACTGAACTTCAACGTATGCCACAGAAAGAGGCAGAGAAAGCACAAACTTCTTTCACACAGAGAGAAAAGCAGACTGTGATTTTTCCATCATTAATTTAGCATCAAAGCTCTCTGCTAAGATCTAGCAATACAGGCAACTAATGCTACCAGCATTACAAGATCCTACGAGGCCCTAAGTGAAACTCTAAGACTGTAAAGGAGTATTTTTGTGATATCCCATTTGAGATAGCAGGGCAACGCAGGAGCATGAAGCATCTGCCCATGCAACAGGAACTTAGGCTATGTGAATGTATTCCACATCACTACAACCAACCCCTGAACACTTTCCAGCATGAAGTTACCCGACTTTTTGAGCAAACTCATCATGCAGCTCTGACTATGCATCAAAAGCAGTTGCTCTGGCCAAAACAGCGGTTTTAATAACTGCAACTGTCCATTGGCTTTTCTTCCAAAAGGCCGTTGCTCTGTGCACCATTTCCACAGCTGTGTTTGCTTCTGGTGGGTGCAGAATTCATATGGACTGACAAAATATCCACTCAACAGGCTACCAACTGTCATCAAAACTAGTTCTCAATACCAAATAGAAAATTAAAGAACTCATAGAAAAGACCAAAAGCTAGATCTGTACAGAGCTGTAAGGAAAGAGCAAACCTGACCCATGATCTTCACGCAAAACTCATATTTGTTAAATGAAACAAATTTTGATCCAATGACAGGGAAAAATAAAAGAGTATGGTTAGCAGAGTAATTTGTTTGTAGCTCACTTCTGAGTTTCTTGCTCTCTCAAGCAGCTATTTGTTTACTTCCCATTATTTACTTCTCAAAGTCTGCATGTCAAAACAACCGTCACAAATACATGCTGTTTTGCATTCTAAGCAAGCAGGATATTTTGATATTATGCCCAGTGGCTTCAGGGAAGTTTATTCACATATTGCTTTTCAGAGTACTTCAGTAGCCTGTATGAAAAATGCTTTTCTTAGCCTGTATGAAAAATGCTTTTCTTAATGTTTACCTCAAAGTTTGGTACTTCAGAGTGTCTCTAAATGTTTCCAAATATTCTGGTGCAAGTTGTTCTACTCCTCATATATTACTTTTCCTTTATTTCAGATTTTTTCCATCAGAACACTAAACAAGTTTAAAGACTCAGGAACAACCTGTTCAAGGACTTCCCTCTATTCTAGTCCCAGCCTTTTCTGATTTTTATTTGTGGAGGAAGATAGCAAGAATTAATTTCTGAGTATTTCAGAATCCAATCACAAACCCTGGCCCACTGATTGTCAGGTCAGATGCAGGAGTTTGTTCTCGTTTTACCTTTTTTTTTTTTTTTAATAAAAAATATACATTAGTTATAATAATTAAATAAAGAATGGTCTAGGCATTGTTGACTGAAACTTGCAAAAGAAATCTCAAGATATTAGATGCTTCTTTATTCACTAGCATTTCAATGAAAAACCAATCAATTTTGTACACTTTTGAGGAATGTTGGATGTTAAGGTGGATTAAATAGGTTATACTGACACGAACTACATGTCCTGTTTACAAATTTAGGTAGTGGAGCATAAACAGATGACTAACCATAGCATTTCTTTTTCCTCCTACATTTAAAGCCAAGTCCTGTGGTAAGCCCTACCTCTAGCAGAATAACTGAATGTCCATGGTCAGAGCTTGGAAAGGCTCTTCAGAGAGCTGCTGGGCCACAGAATGCTGCAGAGCATATTTTGGAGTGGCTTTTCCCAGGAGTTAGCCATATAGCTTCAGTATGTACATGTGGCTATCTGGTTCTACCATGTAGTCACTGTCATCCATGCCCCCACCTGCTTAGGCATCTGCCCAGCACAGTGAGTGCCCACCTCTATATTTTGAGTCAGTAACAACCTGATAGAATATCTTTCATGACAATTATTAAATTCAGAGATGGATCTGAAGAATTACTCTCTAAGAGGGAACTGAAGCCCCTTGGCCCACTTATTCTCTTCAGGTCTGAGGTCATGACAGGCTCCTTCTCTTCACTGTATCTTCTACAGGCCCTTGCATTTGGAGCAGGTGCCCAGCTGCCTTGCTCAGATAACCAACCCATGCAGGGTGATGGGCCACTGAAATGCCTCATAGATCTACTGGCCCTTCTTCTAGTCCTCTTGGGAGTGATACTGGCTTAAGCACCGCACTGAAGACCATTCAGCAAGGCCAGTCCTGAAGTGTCATTTAAAGAGGTTGTGGTTACTTGGCCAAAGTTAGAGATCCAGCCATGATTACAGTAGTTGAAGACAGTAGTTAGCTAGATAGTAGTTGATGAGTAGTTTCTTGTCAGTCTGTAACCTACTTCCAAAGAAGCTTCATGCAGATGTTATACATGTAATTACTAAGAGGCAGGTTCAAAACTAAACAGAAGGAAATATCTCCGCAGATGTGTAATGATCTTTTTGCCAGGAGACATTTGTTCAAGTCTGTACAGACTTATCACAGAAAACATCTATTGAGTACTGGGGGGTGCAGAGTTTGTACCGACTCACAAAACATCTATGCAACAGGCTACAAACTTGCAAAAAAGCCAGTTCTCAATACCAAACAGAAAACTAGAGACCCCTGAGAAAAGACCAAAAGTAACAGAGCTCTGTTTCCCACGAACTGTTGGGGAAATTCAGGGAATGCAACACTATCATTCCTCTCACTCAGACTCTTCCCTGTAGGTCTATACTGGTACACAGTAGCGAGGTGAGAAAAAAAAAATGATAACAAACACAACAACAAAAATACCCCTTGATCGCATGGGACACAGGATTTTTTGCTTGTTTGTTTTTAAAAACATACTATGTCAAGTTCAGTTACCTTTCATGAACCAGATGGTCTCTTCATGAACCAAAGGTCTCTTCCAACCTGAGTGATTTTCTGATGCTGATTACATGTGGCACACTAATCTCATCTACCAAAGTCTCTTGCAGAGTATTTTCCTGCACACGTGGGAAGACCCAAATACATGTTCAATATCTATCTGATCATCATATTCTCAGGTCTCAGCTACACTGATAAGGTGCTTCAGCCTCACAAGCTGAGCATGGAGGGAATGCTGCTGCCACAGCAGTGAGCAATGACCAGACATGCAGCCTTACTCATGTACAGTTCAGGTCCAAAGCTCTGTTCATGATTTTCTGATTAACATGAAAATCGTGCTTTTACCAAGATACATACGTCTCATACCCCTATTCTGCTAAGCAGTTGCATTGCTGTTTTTTCTGGCTAAAGGCAAAATTGTGGTTATCTGATATATTGCTCCTGTAAAAGGGCACTGTGAAGCATATATAAAGCGTAAGGCAGCTGAGTTAATATTGCCATTGGAACATTTGCACCTTTTCCTTTGGTGGATTTGACTATAAAGACCTTGAATACATTTGTGTTTTTTTTTTTCTTCTTTTTTAGAATAGTTTTAATATGATACTAAATCCACATGAAGGCTATAAACAACTGAATTTGAGTTGCCAGTTCAAATAGCTCAGCCAGGTGGAGACAGCCAGAGAGTGAAACTATATCTCTCTGTATTACTACAGTTCAGACTGATTAATGAGCAAAAAGACAAATGAGAAAGCTGCAATTTTGAAATGCTGCTCACAAAGATGTGAGATTTTCCAGGAGGAGACACTGAATTGCCCTTCCTGCATACGTGCAAGTCCCTGTTGATCTATGGAAAAAGAAAAGCAGACCTTCAATGATAAAATAGTTTAATTTTGGATTTTACTTTTTTGCCTGGTTGAATATATGTTAAGAAGCAAGAAAACAGAAGCATGTACAACAGAGGATTTATACAGCTGCAAGGCACAGCACTGATTCCTATACTCTTATTTAGCATCCAGAATGCTCTCACATAAACATTCTGCATCTTTTTACGCAGTCACATCAAATCTACTCTGATCTAAAGTAGCAATGCCTGTCCTGGAGGACAGGAAAGTGTGAGAGAAAGAGTATATTTCACATGGATTCTATTTCAAGTCTCGAGCTCACTTATTTTCTCTCCCCCATTGTTGTCACATATTAACATATTGCACACAGTGTGAATCCATTCAGCTCCCTCACACCCACAGCAGTAAGGCAGATGACAGGGACTAGGAAGGAGTACAGATGGGGTAGTCTAGCCTGGATTTGTGGCATTGAGAGGTTAGAGAGCATCCTCGCCTGAGAGTGCAGTCACATGGGACTGCATGCAGCAGAAATGCATCCCTGCAGGAATCCCAACAGACTCTGTTCCTTTCTTTCCTCCCTCCTCCCATCTTGGTCTCCACAATACATAGCACAGCAAGAAAAGGAATTGGTTTTGCAGCAGATTTCTGGCCCAGCAGGTAAACAAATACGTCAGCTAACTTATGGCAGGACTAGTAGCTGCCTTGCAATGGCTTTTTCCACACAGATGCACAGGCTGTGTAACTGCAGCACCAACACACCCTGCAACCTCTTGTGCTTTGTCCTTCCCATCTCCAGAGTGTTCAGGTGACCCACAAAAAAAGACACAAACAGACTGTGTTCACAGAAGTATCATCTTACAAAATTACACTAAAAAGCCTCTTCTAATCATCTGACTCTCCTTCTCCACTAGATCATCAGTTCTTTATCACTGGACAGTATTTGTTTTCTCTCCAATTTGAGCCATTTCTAAAATATTCCTGGACTATTGTCATGGCTGTAAATTGGTCAAATAATTAGCATATTTGTCTATAGAGTTTCTCCACATTTTTAATATTCACCAGAATGACTTCTTTGCACTGGTATCCCCATGAACCACTTTAACTCCTGGTTGCAGGCCTTACCATTGTACTGAGAAGCAGGTTCAATTTGCTGAAGAAAACAGTCCTGCAGGTTCCCCACTTGGGCAAGCGTTCCTCCGGTTACCAGCTTCAGCTCATCCAGTGTATCCTGCAGTCACAACAAAAAGTGAGAGTTCAGTTCTGTTACAAGAATGGGAATAATGCAAAATATCAGAGAAAGCAGATTACTTTTTCAGAGAAGATCTGTACTTCCCAAGCACGTAGGGCTCCTAAGCCTTCCCTTAAGAAATGCCCATCACCATCCCAACTGTAGTAAAATCCCAAATTGTTGCCTTGCAGATTTTCAAATACCTATGGCTTTTATTTCAAACTCTTCCTTGCTTCCCCCCCCACCTGTTAAAATTCATAATCTCACATAGTGGGAAGGGTTGTTTTTGTTGTTGTTGTTGTTTTGTTTTTTTTTGTTTTTAAATATATTGTGGTACACAATTTGTTGTTGTTGTTGAACTGAATCCAAAGCAGTCCTTCGTCCCCCTCTCAAACAGCTTTACATTCATATCAAGTATGTAAGCGCCTTGGTGATTCCCCATTTTCAAGTCTGCAATGAAACAAAGCTTAGGAGCAACCTGGGGGCAGAATGCCTTTGCACTTCCTAAAGCAAATTTTGCATTAACAGTGACAGAAGATGCTTGTGGAGGAGGATATTCTTTACCTTGGACTACTGATATAGAACTGACAGGAGGCTATGCCAATCCCTGATTGGGAGATGGAAGCAGAAAAGCCATTGCAGTGCAACAGATGGAGTTTTGACACTCAGCTGGCAGCACACAAGTTGCCACTTTTATCTTCTAAGTCCATGTGGCTTACGAAGAGAAGAACCACATAACCAGCCACAGGTTACTCACCCTTGCTCAATGGCTGTAAGAAGCTCATGAAGAGCTGCCCTTATTGTATCGGCTAAGAGCTTACAAAAGTTTAGTCCCCAAAAACCTAAACAGAAGTGATGGAGGCTGTATTTAAAAAAAAAAAAAAAAAAAAAAAAAGCCAGAAACTGTGTTTACAATGAATTATAAAACTACTACTGGGTTCAGTGAAGCTAAGGTTTCAGCTGTTTGATAGGGAACGTTATTTACATTTATTTCAGAGATCTGGATTCAGTGATCCAGAGGATCTCTGATAGTCCCTCCAAGTGCTCACCCTGCTCCCAGTTTTCCCACTCACCTGTGGCTTCTTCTGGAAGATGTGCAATTCTACTGCTGCTGACCTCTCAGGCAGAGTTGAAAATGCTTTTGGCAGGTCCTGAATGGCACCTACTTGCAGACAGTCCAGATACAACTCTATTGTGCTTGATTCCTGCTGCAGACCACTCAGCCACAAGATGACAGCATGGGGTTTCCCATCAGCCAGCTGGATGTTGCTAAAAATCACTGAGTTCAACCTCCCATCACTCTTCAGATAGCGAAGTACCACTGGAACAAAACACAGAATGACTATCAGAAGGTAGAGAATAATCCATGTCTGATCAAGAAAGATCCTGTGGAAATCTGTAATTGCTCTCTGGACATGGTAAGAATAAATGGGATGTGGACCCTCAAATTACCAGAACTCTTGTGTGACGCCCCGTTTGTAAAAAATTCCTGCCTGTAGGAAGTTTTCCACTGCTTTGCTCAAGCCTTTTTAACTGGCTTAAACAATGAAACACATCACCTTAAGGACACACAGTGCTAAAAAACGGTGATAAAGGTAGCAGTTATAGCTAGCAGCATGCAGTCAGCACTTTAGCAGGTACATATCTGATAGTCCTAGAAATACTTGGTAGCAGAAATGTACAACTAGAAAATCTGAAGAAAGCACAATTCCAATGAGATAATCTGCATTTTACTCTAAGAAATCGGATATGAAAACAAAAATGCAATGGAGAAAAGACACATCCCGCCCTTGAAGATGACTGATTCCCTTCTCACTCTTACTTTAAGACTTCTCTGAATTACGTATTTGATACTTCACACAATGGATAATAGAAATAAAATGCACCATCAAAACCTCAAGAGCAGCTAAACAAAAACTCTTACATATGGCATAGTATTTTAAAAATGTCTCCTTCCTTAGGAAATTGGATATGTAAGCTAGGATCTCCAAGCTAAAAATCTCTTAGACAAGATAGCTATTTCTCTCCACAGAAATCTCTCTCTAGCTCTCTGAATGCACACAGCTATCTGCAGAAACACTGAGCTGAGAGCATCCAGACAGCATATAACAATTCTACAGTGTTAAATAGATCTTGGTTTAAAGATCCCACCGATCACCACTCTCCGTGTCCTTTATTTCCTCGTGGCAACAGTTCCATGCACTGAGGAGTCAAGCCGCACAGACACTGTGCACCTAAGCAGTTAAGTGCCGGCTCTTTTCAACATCTGTCTGAAGTTCAGAGCACTGCCACTATTGCATCAAGCAAGAGCTCACACATACTCTGATCTTCAAGAAATGCCTTCACTGAAGTGAGGACAACTAAAAATTGTGGATATGATAGAAGGAAAAAGCTCTTACCAGCTTCAGAGAAGCCATTAGTCTAGCACTTGCTGAATTCATGCCACTTCTACTCACATAACAAATTTTCTTCTCAACTTCCAACTACTAATGTACCCTCTGACATCGTGCTATTTCAGCTAGTAGGGGACATGTACCCAATAACTCAGAAGATGCCGGACAATCTTTAATTGCTAGGTCTAATGATTAAAATAATTCAGATTTATACCAGCATAAACAGGGCTGGCTATGTCTCCATCTTTCAATTCTACACTACTGCTAAAGCCTCAGCAGCTGTGATCAATATCAGGAATGTTTTCACTGCCGTCTATGTCAAAATGCTGCCAGCGCTGAGATTTCCGCAAAGGTGCATGAGGTCACCAGGAACTTGCTAAAAGTTAGCACTTATTGGCCAACTCAAAGATCTGGCAAGACAGAGAATGTTGCAGACATTTTACTTATGTAAATATTATGCACACTGGGTCGTATAAAAGCAAGGTCCTTGGATCTGGGCCCGGCACTCATAGTGACCAAGTGCAGCAGTAAGTTAAAGGAGGAGGAGAGATGGTGGCAGGGCTCTGAACAGACCCTGCCAGAACAGTTTCAAGACAAGCAGCAGTCTGGCTTGGGTGAATGATCAAGTATTCCTTCCTCAGCCAAAGCCAAATACCCATCTGGTAAACTAGAGTAGGCTTTTTGAAGGGAGATTTCTGCTGGACCACTGCCTCCATAAGACTTAACCCATCCAAGCCCCTGTGTTAATTTTTTGCTGCTAAGATGTCTTACACTGATATTCCTGAGGCTCAGTGGCTCACATGCTCTATTTAGGAAACAAACTTTCAATGAAACTACTAATCCTGACAGTAAGTAGGAATCACCTTACAGAGTTGTTAAGTTATATTAGTTTTATGCATTTACCACTGTTTTTTTTTTTTTCCCCAGAAAGGAATTGTTCAAAAAGGATAAGAAACCCACGGACTTCATTTGCAATTTGCCTCTAAGAAGCACATTGGTGTAACCAAAACAAGTTGAGCAGTTGCCCAGTAATTCAGATACACCTAGGACATCTTACCTCAATGTATCTTGCACCAATAAGACTATAAAATGGTGAGAGAAACCATGGCAAAAGTTATTACATCACATAGGTAAGCTAATGCTGGGCTGGCGAGACCTCAGTATGGACTTAGCAAATCAAAGGGAAAAAAATTCTCACGAAGTTTGTGTTTTAAAAAGCATTTTGGTATTATGAACATATTTACTATCATGTTTACCATAACAAAAACAGAGCATCAGCAAACCACAGGGAATACAGTTTTCATATGTAGCATTTTAAAAGGTAACTGAGGCTGGCTTTGGGCTACTTAAATCAGACCTGGGTGCATAAGCAGAAATATCATGCAGAGGAATGCCTGTATGCCTCCTTCCAAGAGCCCAGATATTTAAACCTTACGTTTTGCTAAGATGCCAACATTGGCTCACCACTGAAGTGATGATCTCCACCCTTGAGAGGATCACAAACAGCCCCCACGCTCCATACTTCCAGCTCACGTGATAATCTTCTGGATTCAGTTTAACTTACTATATGAAGTAGCCATATGGGACACTTGACACTTCCAGAGAAATCACACGTGAAAACACTGTGAAACACTGCCTACTATTCACACAGTGCCATACGTCTTAAACAAGGTGCTCTAAAATAACAAGGAGGCAAAGAGACCTCCGTAGAACAGACTTGCTGTGAAAAGTCTCCCCATGTTCAACCAGTCCTTTGCAACAGGTAGGTTACAAGAGCCCTACAACTACTCAGAGTAAAAATGGCACTAGTCACTGACAGTAGAAGCTTCTACACGTTGTCCATCTGTACACTACAATCCTGTCACAGACACTTCTCAAATACAACTCTAATATACTGAGGACAAAACCAAAAGAAACCATGCAACTTTCCACCATGAAGCTTCCTAAGTCTGTTAATTAGAGCATATCAGTAACTATCAGTCACACACGTATTGTTGCAAGTTGAAAAGCTTGATGAGCTTACACTTATTTACATACACATGTGTACATACGTATGCATTCCTATATAACATTTACAGGCATAATCTTGTGCATGCAGAAGTGAGAGAGGAATAGAGAGAAAGCATGTGTGATATATCACATATTTAGAAATTAAGTAAACAGTTTTAGGAACTGCACTTCAGTTACTGATATGACTGAGTGACCACTTCTTACCTGCCCTCAGTACAAACATAGCAGAAAAGTTATTATTCTCTGACCTCAGAAAGACTTTGATAAAACTGCCAGTGTTTTACCCAACTCACTTCCCTGCATTTCCCAAATAAAAGTTGTGCTTTTCTTCAGCACATAGAATAATTTTGCTGTATCTCAACTGACATTTTTGAGTAGTTTCTTATATATAGGCTCAGTCAGCTGCCTGACCATAATAACGACAGCAACAAATTATCATAGCAGTGGTGAAGTCAATGGAGCAACAATAATTTACATCATCTGATCATTTTTCACTGAACCTTAATATTGCAATATATCCTAGATATGGTCTAGAGAGTAATGAAAACTATCCATTTCTAAAAATTTACTGAAGTTTCTACTCTGCCTCCTAATGAACCAATTTCATTAAATTATGAACATACACTTTAATTCACCCAAAAGATCCTGTAAGTGCTAGGAATGTTTGTCTTGCGTAGTCACAGCTAACCTCCAGGGTCAATGGAACAAGAACTGGCCTTTCATATGCATGAGGCGGCATGTGCGTGTGTCCCTCGCATTCCTAACTAATAAGAACCAGTGATTGTCCCAAGGGGGAAGAAAAAGAGGAAAAAAAAAATTGACTCCTTTCTCCAATACTTTGCCCCCACCCCCACTTTCTCAGCATTACTCAAAGCAAGCTGCATGGTAGAGCAGAGATACCAGCTGGCTGTCAGGTCAGCTTTCCCTGCCCAGGAGCAAGCAGCATCCAGCAAGAGGGACGCAGCAGAAGGGGAGAATGGATGTTGCCAACTCTTTTGCCTTCTGAGGGGGGGGGGCTAAGTGGACACAACCCTCAGTAGGAACGACTCAAGCACAAAGGTTAGTCGTGCTATTTTCAATGTCCCTCTGTGAGGCAGCAATAACCATGGGTCCCATACTAGTTTTACTCTACTTACTCCAAACAACTCACCTTTATTCATCCGTCCCACTACTGTAAACTCAAAATACTTGCTGTTTCCAGTTGATGAATACAGGCCAAATATGGTGGCTGTGCTCTTTGGCTGCAGTTTGAATGTTGAGAGCAAGAACACTTCATTCAGCGTAGGATCGCCAAGTGCTTGTTGCAGGAAGTTTGTTACCACTCTCTTGTTGGAATATGAAAGAAGATCAATAACTGAAAAATAAAGTTTCAACAGCAGCTTAAATACAATAATGAGCAGAGAATAACTCCACCTGCAAGTTGTTCATCCCCACGCCACCCTGTAGAAGATTGCACACTCTTCTCTATTTCCATATAGATACTCTAAAATTACACAAAATGTCCTTCCTAAAATAAGGAATATGAAAACAGAAGTGAATAATATGAAAATGTTACAGAGATTTTGTTGCAACAAACTACCTTTCTGTGACTTTTTTTTAAAAGGAATTATTGATAATTTAGAAAAACAGAAATAGTCTTCAAATTGATGTTTTCAAATATTTCCAGGTGGGTCTCCAAGATTCACGTCTTTGGCAATGTACCTCAACAGAAAGCTTTTCAAACTATTTCTGCTTTCATAAATTCAAATGAATATTTTTATTACGTTCAGAATCCAGCATCAAAATTTCAGACAGATTTCCAGTATGCTTATCCTAAGAAATATTTTGATGACATTTGCAGGGCATCAATTAAAATGCTAAAGAGCCAGGTAAGTAATAAGATATTCATAGCCTCCTTCTCACTTCACTGACTTCTGAGAAGATATAATATATAAATAAGACTCGTCTTTCCCTTCTGGCACAGATAACAAAGAAAGACAGGCCTGACAAAAAAATAACCCTGAAGGCATAGTGAAATCTGTTTCCAATTTTTCTTTTTAATTTTTGCACAATACATCAGCAAAGAGTCTAAGTATTATACTCATAACTACGCCAGCGATCCCCCTCGTGGCATTGAAACAACAAGCTGGGTTATTCCTCAGTGTTCCTAAATCTGTGATGTCTCCAAGCTCAAACTATTACATGAAGCTTCTCAGTAAACTCTTATTCCAGCCTGCTGCCATCAGAGCAGTATGTACATTATACCCTTCCAATGAAGACTGATAAATGACTATACACAAACACTATTTAAATATGCAGGTATATTTAGTAGATGCACACCACTGCCACTCCAACAGGCCTGTCAGAGCTGGGCCATCCTTTTCCCCAACCTATGAAGCTGGGACCATCCTACTAAACCAGTGTTTCCATACACTGTGAGCTGAAGGCCACTCAAGAGTGCTCAGAGCACAATCATATGGGCACATGGTCCCACCCACAGCCATATGGTAAACCATATTCCCTTAAATTAGAGCCCATCTTTGTGCTGCTTCTGTTGCTCTTTCTAAAGCATCCATTCATTTGGACACTGATGTTATTTCCAAAAAAAAAAGTGAAGATGTTTTTCCCTTCATCTCATAGAAGAATATAGATCATAGCTCAAGTCTACACCCATACCGAGTCCAAGGATCCTTGGAAAAGACCTTCAAGAGCATCTGGCCCAACCATTTCCCTACCACCAACGTCACCCACTAAACCATGTCCCCAAGCACCACGTCCAACCTTGCCTTGAACACCCCCAGGAACGATGACTCGACCATCTCCCTGGGCAACCCGTCCCAGTGCCTGACTGCTCTTTCTGAGAAGAAATGTCTCCTCATTTCCACCCTGAACCTCCCCTGGCACAACTTGAGGCCATTCCCTCTACTCCTATCACTTGTTATCTGTGAGAAGAGGCCGACCCCCAGCTCCCCACACCTTCCTTACATGGAGCAATAAGGTCTCCCCTGAGCCTCCTCTTCTCCAGACTAAACACCCCCAATGCCCTCAGCCACTCCCCATAGGAGTTGTGTTCCAGGCCCTTCACCGGCTTCATAGCCCTCTCCAGGGCCTCAATGTCCTTCTTGTAGTGAGGGGCCCAAAGCTGAACACAGCACTCGAGGTGTGGCCTCACCAGAGCAGAGTACAGGGGAACAATCACCTCCCTGGTCCCGCTGGCTACACTATTCCTAATAAAAGCCAGGATGCCGTTGGCCTTCTTGGCCACCTGGGCACACTGCTGGCTCATGTTCAGTCGAGCATCAACCAACATCCCCAGGTCCTTTTCCTCTGCACAGGTTTCCAGCCACCCTGCCCCAGGCCTGTAGCGCTGCACGGGGTTATTGTGGCCAAAGTGCAGGACCCGGCACTTAGCTATGTTGAACCTCATCCCATTGGCCTCTGCCCATTGACCCAACCTGTCCAGGTCCCTCTGCACAGTCTTTCTACCCTCCAACAGATGGACACTTCCCCCCAGCACGTTTTCATCTGCAAACTTACTGTGGATACACTCAGTTTCCTCACCCAAATCACCCTACTCAAAAGGGATCAGGCCCATGGCCTGCACGCTCTTGTATATTGTTGTTAAACAGCTAAGAAACATACCTAAGATGAATTGAACAAATTCTCTCCCCTTTCATTCAGTTCAGATTTACAGCACCCAGGACGATCACAGCTCCCACTGAAATCAGTGATTCAGACAGCAGTGGCGAAAGGCTGGGAATTTCAGCACATTTGGTCCACAGAAAGCAAAACAGTTCCTCAAACAAAAGACTGACATGCAACTCACTACTCTGTACAACACCATTTTGCAGGCAATAACCATTACTACACAGCTGTGTCCTCAAATGGAGCACTGCAATACAGCACTTAAGCCTGACAGGAAAAAAAGTGTGCTATCACATTTTGTTCAGTACTTCTAGCTCTGTTGGTCGATTTCATACAAAGCACAGAAGTATTATAAAAGTAATGATTAGACACCAGCAAACTTCTGTCTAACCTTACAGAAAAACGTGATTGATTTCTTTAAATTTGTATATTTAAATGAATGCTCAGACTAGTTTACTTGATAGCTGCATTCCATAAAGCATGCTGCCTGATCTGGATCCTTCAGCAGCATGTTACTGAACCCTCTCTTGTGGTGTCTTCATTAATAGCATGTAGAGGTGTGAGAATCTATCCTTTGCTTTAAGTTACACATGTGCTAGCAGAAGTGGCTAGCAGAAGAACAGTGGGGTTAAGAAAAGCTCATCCTCCACCCTAAGTAGAGCTGGCAGGCAGACAGCTCTTAAACCTTACAGAGAATTGCTTGTTTGGAAGGAACAAGATCTACAAGGATTTCAGATTTCATTTTTAAAGAAGAATCTCATCTTTTCTTTTCTCTCCTTGGAAAGGCAGACTTGAAAACAAACTGGTAAGATAGGACTGCCAAAGCTGGAAGGCACAAGCATCTGGTTTCAATTGATGCAGTGAGAGCAACAGCTTGGGCATGCCTGAGAGCACAAGTGCCACTGTGTGTACCCACCAGGTTGAACTCAGAACACTCAGCACAGACCAAAAATCTTCTCCCCCAGCTCTCCCCCCTTTCTTTTTTTTTTTTTTGTTTGTTTGTTTGTTTGAAGGGACCAATTCACCATCCTATGAGAATGGTAACAAGAAGTAAGCTACACATGGACACTGCTGCAAAACAATCTTTGGAGATGTGACCGAAAACATCAAGATTAGCTCTCAAAATAGGAGCTAAAATACATGTCAGGAAGGGACATGATAAAAATAAATTAGTGACACGAGAGAGCACAGAGCACAAAATAAAATACCCTTATTTCCCTTAATACTGCTGCCATGTTTCTCCAGCTTTCAGAAACCCTCCAGGATTCTTCTCCAGTCACAACTAACCATGATAACTGTACATACGTAAATAGAGCTCCACCACTGCTCAGCACGTTTCAAAATAATTATTGACCCATTGGTCATTTTGAGTGAAAGCCTGACCCCACTGCAATGATTTCGGGCTGACAAGCTTACAGATTTCCCAGGCTGAGAGCCGGCTCTTTCACTGCCAACTGCCCTGCCAAAGTGGGTTTCTTGATTTTGTTGAAAAAAAAAGTCATTTCGTTGAAAGAAAAAATCAATTCTGTTGAACTGTTTTTTAAACAACGATGACTAATTGTCTGAAATATTTCTAATCACGACGGATTTTTATGCAGGCTTTCAGAAATCACAGCCAAATTAACCTCTCTTGCAGCTCCGCTTCACCTGCCGAGCCAAGGGATAACATTACAATGCCAGCAGCTCGCTTGATGCGCGCTCTACAGCAGAGCAGGTGCTGACCTCGTACGCACACCACACAGCTGTACGAGGCACGGCTGTGTTTAGGCAGCCTCTTTTTCCCCGTGTAAGATGCACTCTCCAAGCTGGAGCTGCTGGGCGCGTTCCCATCGCCTCGCGGTTCACCCCTCGCTCAAAAGCCGGCACCTCGCAGCTGCGGAGCACACTTCGGGTGCTCGAGGCGGCTGCCGCGCACCCCTGCGCCCCCAGATCCACCATTTCTGCCGATTTTCGAGGGGGCAGACGCCGGCTGATGGAACAGCGAGGGACACCTGAATCCAGGCGGGGCGGAGGGGCAGAGGGAGGGGAGCTCGGCAGGCACTTTGCGCGCTCCCCTCCCCGAGCCAGCAGCAGGGAGGCTCAAACCCAGAGCCTCCTGTGAGCGAGGGGAGGCCAAATGAATAAAGAAAGGAGCTCTAGAGGCATGGATATAGAGACACGGAGGCTTACCTCGGGGGGCGGGCGGCGCGGCGCGGCCCGGGCACAGCTGCAGGGCGAGGGGCAGCAGCAGCAGGGCAGCGCCGCCATCCCACCCCATGGCGGCCAGGGCCGGGCCGGGCAAAGGAGGGGACGGGAAGGGAGAGGAGGGTAAAAGGCAGGGCAGGACGGCGAGCTGCTCCGCGCCGGGACCGCTGTTTAACGGGGAGGGGCGGCGGCGGGCTGCCCTGGGCCGAAGGGGGCGGGCGGGGGCCGGGCTCGGCCGCTGTGGGGCGGAGGGGGTCGGGGTCCGCCCGCAGGGGGCCGGCTGGGTACGGCCCCGGGGCCGGTGGGGGTCTCTGAGGAGCCCTCGAGTTGGGGCGATGACACCCCCCCAGGGTGTCATTGCTCCGCTGTGTCCCCTCCAGGAAACTCCAGCCTCTGCGCTGCTGACACTTCAAGAAGCGAGGGAACAGGCAAGGCAGCCCCCCTGGGGGGGCGACTCAGCCCCAAAGTTTGGGTTTGTTCGACGTCCCCATGAAACCAGCTGGCAGGCAAGCTGACCCCCTCTGCGCTTTCTGCCAGCAAAGCAGGAGGTGTCCCGAGGGACCGGGTGACGGCCAGGTGCTTCTGCACGCAGTGAATGAACTAACAGCACGCAGCGAGCTTCCCGACCTGCTTGTGCACCCCTCCTCACCCCATGTGTCCCTGTGTGCCCCCCCATCCCACAGACAAACCTCTGCCACAGCAGAGGAAAGCCGTGAGGCCGTGGCTGCTCCCCTGCCAGCTTGCTGCCCGGCACACAGCGGGAATAGCCGGAGCTGTCGGATGCTATCTACATCACAAGAACAAGGGCAAAAATGGGAGGAAAAATTTCATGTTAAGGAGCAAAGTAGGGTTGATTAGTGTTCAGCCACATCAGGTGGCGCGTACAGCTAACAAGCTCTGAAGAGCACAGCCCTCAGGGGGCTCATTGTGTGCGAGGCAAGACACAGCACGCTGCGCAGGGAAGGGGCTGCCTGCATGGCTGCGCAGGGCACGGGCGTGGGCTCCTCTCCAACACACGCAGTGGGATTTTCAAACACCTTCAGCTGGCCTATATTCCACCTCCCCTTTAGTGGCCCTCACACGTGGCACATACCCCATGCCGTTGAACACACTGTGCTCCTTAGCCTATTCGTGTAAGCGCTGACCCTCTCCTTCAGTTGCCTGTTTTCTTTCTCTGCCTGTTGCAAGGCTGGAGAGTGCCTCCCCACGTAACCAGTGTGTCCCAGCACAATGTGCTCCCACGTCCTCACCCCACTGCTCTTACGTGTATGTCTCCACGCAGTAAGAAGCGCCTCGGTTTCACTCCCACCATCCCTGCCCATGTGGTGGAAGTGAGAGTATGATGTGGTGGTTTCAGCTGGCAGCAGCACAGCTGAGTGAGAAGAGAAAACAGAGCAGTGGGAGCAGAGCACTACAGAGCAGGAAGGAAGGAGTAGGGATAGAGGTAAAGACATGGAACAAAACAAAACAAAACAAAAAAAGTGGGGACTTACAGTGGCATGAGCTTCCTAGAAGGAAGTTTCAGTCCAGAACTTGTCCCTGAGCAAGAGGATGGAGACAGCACAGGATTTTTGGAGAGGCTAATACCTGGACCTAGAGCAGCAGGGATGTTGCTCTGCATTCTGTGAGCACGAAGGAGAAACCCTTAGTCACCAAAAAGCGTTCTTTGAAAACACAGGTTTACACACCTGACACATAAATGTCTTGAAGATCTGTAAAATCATCACAGCTGCATATTAAAGTATTCAGTGACAAGAGCTGACAGAAACAAAAAAAAAAAATGCTAAAAGGATGGTAAAGTTTTGCTTTCACCTATCTAAGGGAAGACTATCAATTATTTACAACCATTTACCCTATAATTTCTTTATCAAAATGTAGGAAATATTTTCTTGTACAGTTCCCTTCTCTGTCAAAAATATTTAATACATCATTTTAACTTGTTTTCCACTCCTGATTTAGTTACCGTAGGGTCTGTTGGACTGATACAAATCATCCCTATGGGAGGAAGATCTTGTTTGTAGCATTATATACTCATTAGTATTACATTAGTGAGAGCCAAATTCTGTTGTTGCTCTGCCTGCTTTCTGGGTGTGCTTATTCACCAGGAATACCCATTGAAGCAAAATGTGGCAATCAGAGCATACTGCACAATAAAACAAAGCAGGGTGAATTCACAATATCTTTGTTTAACTCCATGTTTAAATGAACCTAGACAGTACGTAAAAAGGTTGCTGCAATTTTTCAAGTTTTCATTTCTACGTTCAGTTTTATTACTAGAGCATGTTACAGACTGAAGGAGATTTTGTGTTCAAGCACAACCTTCTTTAAGGGATTTTCACAGAGTATAATATTTATCTGCTGTCTGGATGGGACAATTTGACCTTCTAACCATCATTTTCAATAATAACAATAGAATATTATCTATCACTTTTTTACTCTTCTGTAGAACAAACTCTACTGAAGAACAAACTTCAACTTAACTTATTGGATGTTAATATTTTGGACACAAAACAGGAAGTGGTTATTGGGCATTTTATTTTCAAGAAACTTTCACAGAGCTGGTAAACTTTTATGAGGAATTTTATTACAGGAATGTAAGACTGTCGTTTTTTATATAAGATCTGCAAGTAAGTAAACCTCTACTGTTAAAATATTTGTCCTGCTTATCTTATGTAAAATGATAAAATTCTAAATGTAGAGAATACAGAGAAGCTGCCAATGTGATACTTTTTGCTTTGCAAGTGTCCATAGCTTGTTCGAATTCTAAGTAATGAGGTAGAGGATGTAGGAAGGAATCTCTACTGCCTAATTCAGATGTCATATTTTGCTCCTAATAACCATCAAGAGACTCACTGCTTATGAAATTATATGGATGATTAAAAGTCAGGATACATGGGAAATTAAGATATAGAAATCCTAATGCAAGTGCAATTTCAGGAAAGTACAACTCTAAGCCACATCCTTCTATACTTATGTCAACACTTATGGGTTTGATTCTGCCACATTTTCATTAAAAGGGTGTGTAGAAGATGAGGTTTCAAAGTTTCAGAGGGTGTTTTGCTTTTTCAGAAACACAAATTGGAACCCCACTTTTTCAAGTCAAAGCATCCATCCACATACCTATTTACTTTTCATTTACACTAATAAGAATTCCACTCAGGCAACCAAGAGGAAAAAGCTCCTGGAAAGCTTCAGGATGGGGGAGGGAAGATGCAGATTGCCTTTTTTTTTTTTTTCCTGTCTTTGCTCAGGACTACAAAACAGTGCAGAGATGAACTAGGCCCTAAGGCAACACAAGGGAAGTTTACTCTCCTGTTAACCTCTAAGCATTCTTGCAACCTGCCTTAAGGAGAGACATAAGCTGGTTTAGCCTCCATAGAGAAATAGATGTTGGGGGTTGAGGCTGGTAAGAGCCAGTCTTGCTTCCATAGCTTGCCTGCCTCAGCGAGATGACACCACGGTGAGCAGAGTACCTGGGAGGACTGACTGGGAGTTACCTGCTGCTGAAGGGAGGTGAAGAAAGGTATCTTTTAGAACCTGTACTTTAAGTATCTCTTTACAAGGGGAAATGTAAATTAGCCATTAGAAAACCAATCACTACTGTTAATATTCCCAATTATGTATTTTTCTGAGGAAAGAAAATGGGTATGTTTTTCTTCTCTCATGTTCCTCATAAACTGTAGTTGAACGATCTCAGATCCATGTGGTAGATTTTCTTCCTTGCACTTTCTGCCACAAACTTCACGGACATTTGAAACCACAGATTTATGAAACCACAGATTTATGAAAGGCAGGTCCTGCTTGACAAACCTGATCTCCTTCTGTGACACAGTGACGTGCTTAGTGGATGAGGGAAAGGCTGTGGATGTGGTCTACCTTGACTTCAGTAAGGCTTTTGATACTGTTTCCCACAACATTCTCCTCAAGAAACTGGCTGCTCATGGCTTGGACTGGTGTACACTTTGTTGGCTTAAAAATTGGCTGGATAGCCGGGCCCAAAGAGTCGTGAATGGAGTCAAATCCAGCTGGAGGCCAGTCACTAGTGGCGTTCCCTAGGGCTCGGTACTGGGGCCGGTCCTCTTTAATACCTTCATCGATGATCTGGATGAGGGGATCCAGTGCACCCTCAGTAAGTTAGGTGTGTGTGTTGATGACACCAAGTTAGGTGCGGGTGTCGATCTGCTCGAGGGCAGGAAGGCTCTGCAGGAGGATCTGGATAGGCTGCACCGATGGGCTGAAGTCAACTGCATGAAGTTCAACAAGGCCAAGTGCCGGGTCCTGCACCGGGGGTGCAATAACCCCAAGCAGAGCTACAGGCTGGGAGGGGAATGGTTGGAAAGCTGCCTGGCAGAGAAGGACCTGGGAGTATTGGTTGACAGCCGGCTGAATATGAGCCAGCAGTGTGCTCAGGTGGCCAAGAAGGCCAACGGCATCCTGGCTTGTATCACAAACAGCATGGCCAGCAGGGAGAGGGAAGTGATTGTCCCCCTGTACTCGGCTCTGGTGAGGCTGCACCTCGAGTACTGTGTTCAGTGTTGGGCCCCTTGCTACGAGAACGACATCGAGGTGCTTGAGCGGGTCCAGAGAAGAGCTACAAAGTTGGTGAGGGGCCTTGAGAACAAGTCTTACGAGGAGGGCTGAGGGAGCTGGGCTTGTTTAGCCTGGAGAAGGGGAGGATCAGGGGTGACCTTATTGCTCTCTACAGGTACCTTAAAGGAGGCAGTAGCGAGGTGGGGTTGGTCTGTTCTCCCGTGTACCTGGTGACAGGACGAGGGGGAACGGGCTAAAGTTGTGCCAGGGGTGTTTTAGGTTGGATATTAGGAAGAACTTTACTGAGAGGGTTGTGAGGCATTGGAATGGGCTGCCCAGGGAGGTGGTGGAGTCCCCATCCCTGGAGGTATTTAAAAGACGTTTAGATGTTGAACTTAGTGATATGGTTTAGTGGAGGACTTGTTAGCGTTAGGTCAGAGGTTGGACTCGATGATCTTGAGGTCTCTTCCAACCTAGACGATTCTGTGATTTGAGGAGACAGGGAGGAAGAAGCTTTGCCCTTGGTCTCCTCATCTCGTTATGAATGGTAGACCTGAGTACGGGTGGTCAGTGCAGTCTGTTTTTAAGGCACAGTGGTATTTTTCTTTGTGTGGGAAGGATGGAACCGTTTTACTTGGTGTAGTATTTTAACAGTAAATAGTGCTG